AAACGACGCGACACGCACAACTAAAACGAATTGGAAATGCACTTATCGAGATGCGTACGCACATGCGGCCATACATACACACATACATACATCTCTCTCTTGCTTATCTTCCCGCTCTCTCATTGCCTTGCATTTACGGTGCTTGGCGCTCTTTGCCTTCAGTCTTTCGCTGACCGTTTGCTAACTGCTTATCTCTCTCTTGATCACTAGTGTTTTTAAGAGAGCGCCAAGACTTCGCTTGCTCTCTGTAAAAGCTGCGTGCACTTCATTACCGACAGCAGCTTGATCTCGACAAAATATTTGCAGTGCCAAGTGGATGAATGAATGTTTTGACTTTAAGGAATTGAAAGTAAACTACTTGGAATTCACATGCGAATGCGAGTATAGCAGCAGCAGAGGTTTCCATATTCTGCTATAACCCACATCACAACCAATTTGTGCTGCGGCGCTACCCACTGCGGAGAAGAAGGCAAACGCTAGGAAAATATAAAGCGACAAGAGGGAGGGAGCGGCGCTGTACAATGCATATTGATAATGCACATAACAGCCATAAGTAACTGGCATCCTGGCAGACAAACGTGACCCAAGCAGCAGCACAAGAAAATGAAGGAGAGCCGGCAGTCTCGCTACTGAACAACACATGCGAGAGTGGAAAAGCAAGCGGGAGAGCAAGAGGTAGACACTGACAGAGTGGGACAGCAACACAGATGCCGAGCGAAGCAAATGACATGCAAATAAATGAGAACAAAGGGATAAACGAATGGCTGGGGCCAGTCGAAGTTGGCATTGCATTTGCCATCGTTGCCATCGTCCGTCGCATTCATGGCATGGAATGGCAAACGAGCCGCATAATTTTTGCCGACTGCACTTTGCGGCCAAGGCGCCGGATACGGCCGCCCTGCGGAGCAGAGACCTGCTCCAGCACACTTCCACCCCCTTGTCGTTGCTCCGCTGGTACTCTTGCTTTAATGAAGTATAACGCGACCAAATGAATGGCGTATTAAGAGAACGTCGCAACGTCCATACCCATGCCCATGCCATTCCTTGGCTGTGCTGTGCTGTGGATTGAAATGTGAGGATAAATCAAGGTGGGGCTGCTGCGGTAATTTGTAAGTCGCGTGGGGACCAACACGATAAGTAGCCAACAATATTTCTCCATTCACGAAACCCAGCCCGATCCCAACCGACGCGCTTGGACCCCAGACAATAAGCATAAATAACATAAACATGGAATATGAAGGAATGGAATGGAATGTGGAATGTGCCAGATGAAATAGACAAGACAGTGAGTGGACCGTATGACACTCCCGCTCTGTCTCGCGCTGCCAATCTCGCAGTTCCGTTACTCTCCCTCTGCTCTCCCCTTGCTCTCTCTCTCTCTCTGCTGATTAATGCTTGTTTGTTTGCATGGCCGTGTATCACTAATGGAATTCACATGTTGGGACATGACTGATTATGTACACATTAGTCGACTGATTTGCAATTCCAAGTGTGCCCGCGTATAACAGTGTCTTGTTGTGTTTGTGTGTGTGTGTCTGTCATGACTGTGTCCTGTCGGGGGCGCAACTTTTCCACTATGGCCTAGAAAACAATGTTGCAAGTCGTATTATGTAGATATGTGCGGGGCCTGGCAAATTGGCATTGGCAAATGTCAGATGGTGCGGCTGTGTGTGCATTTGGCACGTGTCCTGTCGCCACTGTTTAGCAACTGTACCGATGTGCCTCTCTACTGTAAAAGGTCCTGCCATGACTAAGCACATTATAGAGGCTGTTTCCAGCGAGTTGGCGCGCTAATTGGCAGCCGCTTTTGTGTTCTCTAGCAATTTTGCGTGCTCGATAATTTGCTTATGGCGATACAGATACAAAAGCTGGTGGCAGTTGCCAGGACACAGGAGCTGCCTTGTGTTTGTGCATGCGGCACAGCCGTGGGGCCACTTACCTTGTGGCAAGTGCAGCTCCTTTTTAAATTGCTTAATAAACATGCACAAAAGGAAAATGCACCAACTGCGGCGTTTGTTTAGCTAATTGACTGCACGAAGGAGCACTCCATGAATGCTCTCCACATTGAGAGTCGCAGTGCAGGCGACAAATGGCGAGAATTTTGGAATTTTCAAAGCACTTGAAATGTCTACAACTACTCGTAGTAGTTGCCTTGTAGATTCTTGTTGTTAAGCTCTTCAAAATTTACAGTGAATATTTATCCAAAGCATCAGAATGAAAGAGCACAAAAGTCATGTGCGGCTGCCACGTAGATCCAAACGATCTTCAAGTCGTCCGTACACTGGCTCCGATGACGAGTTGCCCTTTGGCCCCTCGCAAGCCTGTCGCTGCGAACACTGTGCGATCAGGAATCGACCCAAACCCACCGACGAGGACAATCTGAGATCCACAGCGATGCTGCGCAAGGTGGACGCTGCCGTCGAGAAGAATTTCGAGGAGACCCTGGTTGACCTGGAGGATTTTGTGCGTCTGCAATCAGTGTCTGCGGACTTGGAGTTGATAGCCGAAAGCCTAAAGGCCTTGTGCCTGTACCGCGATCGGCTGGAGCGCATGAGATTCAATATCTTCGAGTACAACATCAATGCGCCGCGTGGTGCCTGCGACACCTCGCCACACCCGAAGGTTGTGTTTGCCCACTACTTCTCATCGCCCTCGAAGAACACAATTCTGATCTACGCTTATCTGGATGTGGCTCCGGCCAAGTTCGAGGATGGCTGGCTGTCGGAGCCCTTTGAGTTCTACATGAACGACGACATGCTGTACGGGCGAGGAGTGTGCACCGGCAAGGGCATGGCCGTGTGCTGGCTGCAGGCCATCGAGGCCTGGTTGGAGTTGAACGACGATCTGCCCATAAATATCAAGTTCATTGTGGAGATTATGCACGCCGTGGGCAGTGTCGGACTGCAGCACTACTTGGAGGTGAAGAGAGAGTTCTTCCTGGACGTGGACTGCATTGTCTTTGGCAACAATTCCTGGATAAACGACGACAAGCCAATGATGAGCTGCAGCCTCACTGGCTGGGCGCACTTTGGCCTGGAGATGCGTGGCGCCGCAAAGACCCTGGAGGGGGGATTAGCGGGGGGACTCGTGTATGAACCCATGACGGATGTTTGTGCGCTGATGAACAGCCTCGTGGATAATCTCCATGTGCTGCAGATACCCGCGATTCAGCACATGGTGCGGCCCACTCTTGTCACGGAGTGGGCGCTGATCGAGTCGGCGATATTCAGTGAGTATGCCTACAAGGAGCAGTTTGGCATCAGGCGTCTCCGGTTTGAGCTGACAAAGGCCGAGCTGCTGCACAATCGCTGGTGCCAGAGCACCATGAGCATGCACGGCATCGAGGGCTGCTACAGCCGCAAGGGCTCATCCATGGCCATGCCCATGTCGGTGATGGCAAAGTTTTCCATTAAGCTTTTGCCCGACCAAACGGTGAACTTGGTGCACACCCACATCGAAGAGTTTCTGCGCACAAAGTGCGAGGAACTGAAGACACGAACCAACCTGAAGGTGCATCTGCTGGACTCGTGCGATCCCAGCATGTGGGGCCTCGATGCCAGGTACAGCAAGGCGCTCGTGCGCTCCATCAGCCGCGTCTATCAGCTGGAGCCGGATCTATCGATGAACATTGTCACCTGCCTGCCCATTGCCAGCACGTTCAAGAAGATCACCGCCAAACCCATCATCCTAATGCCCTATGCCCATCGCATGGACTACTCGCACGTGGTCAACGAGTCCATCCCGAAGCAGTGCTTCCTGCGCAACATCAAACTCTGCACGGGCCTCGTGCACGAGCTGTCGCTGCTGCCTGCACGTTGCAAGTGCGACGTCATCTTTGAGTACTGCAATCGCCAAGGCATTGCCGAAATGCTCAAGCCACACACAGAGAAGAACCTGCACAGGCCGACCATTTTCGCGCATATGAGAAGAACCAAATCCGTGAAGCCGCGGAACCAACAACCAGCGGAGCCTGATCCAAACAAACGCAAAAACCTCAGGGACTGGCTGTGTGCCCCATTCAGGCGCAAAAGGATGAGCACCACAAAGTAATCGTCTGTAAGGGAGTTCTTTTGTTAATCAATTGTATATGGAAAATGTTTAAAACAGATTTTGTGGGTAGAGATTACAGATCTGGCTCACATCCAGCTGCAGATTTTGGTTGCGACAAATGCGACTGCAAAACGCAAAGCTATACAAAGCGTGACTTGAGCTTCCTGTAGCGTCGCTTCCGGTTTAATTGAGCATGTAACGAGCAGAGCTTTAGCCCAAACACACACACAGAGAGACTGAGACTTGCCAAAGATATGCACACGTAACGGGTGCATGAAGAAGGGAACTGCAGGGACACCACGAACTTGGCAACAGGGGTGTGCGGCATAGTTATAGTATATGTTTTGTCTATGTTTATGTTTGCTGCCACAAGTATGTGTGTGCAGGTCAGAGCGAGGGACACGCTCGCACGCAGTTTGTGTTTGGCCAGAGACAACATTTGGCTGTGGGCGGCAGGCGCTGCCGCTGCTGTTGCAACTGCCACTGGCAGAGTCAGCTAATTGCCATGCCACACATAGCCACCCAAGCCCCAAGTCTAATCCCGCAAACACAAAACAAAAAATAAAGCAAAATGGCAACCGTTTTCAACGTTGCTTTTGCCCCTTCGCAGAGCGGAAATCAATCAATTTCCTGCGTAGACTTTGCCTTTTTCTTGTACTTTTTACTTTTTGTGTTGCCTTTCATTGAACAGCTATTGTCCAGAAAGAAATGTATTGAATGCTAGTTGAACAGGTGCATGAGGCAGGAAGCTGAGTAGTGGCAATGTTGTATAATTTAATTACAAATTTTCAACTCATTGTGCGGCATTCAATAATATTTATGAGAGATTTATGCACTCTTATTTATGGCACAGCAGCTCAACAGCTCCAACTCACTCACGTTCCAACTGCTTAATGATTTATTTTCCTGACATTTGCCCTAATTAAGTTCTGGCTCATAAAACACCGAAATAATTGTTAGAAAACCTGGTTTATTTATGGTTCATTATTGATAATACACAGCTGTAAAAAATGCACTCCACACTTGGTAGCTTCATTGTGGACTGCCACCTGGGAGTCCTGGGCTGCCATTGCGACCACCTCCTCCACCGCCACCGCCACCGCCTCGACCAGCACCTCCATCGCCACCTCTTCCTGCACCTTTACCGCCTTGGCCACCATTTCTGTTACGTAAAGGGCCACCACAGCAAGAGCAACGGTTACGAGTTCTTCCAGAAACAGTCACAGATCCAAAGGCAGTGGCAGACTTCTCAGCTGATCTTGCAGAGCCACTAAAGACGCTCACTTCTGTGGTGGGACCCAGAGCTCCTGCATCATCCCTACGCTTGGCTTGGCCTAAAGGACACACAATTTGAGATTAAAGATGAAGCTTTGAGGGATTCTCCACTGCCCTACCTCCATCCAGCCACAGCAGACAGCACACTAAGGCAAAGGCGAAGCACAGAGTCCGCATCTTGACAGCAAACTAATCCGTCCAGCGGCGTGACAAACGAATTATATTCGCTGCGCTCCAGCTCCAGCTCCACTGGCAGTCTCTCTCTCTTGTCACAATTGAGCCAAAACCCACCACACCTGGGGGGAGAGTGTCTCAACTCACCTTATTCTGATAGAGCACTTCGACGGCCAGAAATCCAATCAGACCCAGAGTGAGTATGAGCAGCATGATGTACAGCTTGGCCTCGATGCACAGCAGACTGGAGTAGATGAAGCCGAACACAAAGCCCACCGACTCGAACAGCCGATAGTTGGAGAAGGCCGCCTCCTTGTGGCGTCGAAAGAGCAGGCCATAGAAGGCCTGAATCTGGGTGACCCAAGCAGCATCGCTGATGCCCCAAAGCCCGGCCAGAGCATAGAAGACAACGGGATGATCCGGCACGGGGCGATAGTGCAGCTTGAAGCCCATGACAATGACGTTGACGGAGGCGCCTATGAAGATGATCATGGAGCGGCCAATGTACTTCATTGATACGCCAAATATAAAGCAGGAAATGGAGTCCATGACGCCCCAAGTGATCATCACGTAGCCAATCATATTAACGCCCAGGGCACAGGCCACAAAGCTCTGGGTGTACTCCGCCGCTATCCAGGCCTGCTCCAGTCCAATGAAGATGGTCAGCGGGATGAGCAGCTGCTGATTGGTGCGCTTCAATTGCCGCACTGTGGCCAGCAGATTGCGCACCGCAGTGCTGTCCTTGGCATGGGAGCCCTTGCGACCCTCGCCATAGCGCGTGAGTGGATCCAGGCAGAACACCACCAGCACAATGGCAACCAGCACACACGGCACATAGATCATGATCAGCACAAAGACATCTTCGGCTAAAGGCTGTGGTATGTCCTGGGCATACCAGCTGCAGTAATTGTGGCCACAGCAGCTGTAGTCCGTGTGGGTTTGGTTGACCTGAACCTCCTCGGGTGCCTGTAGGACTGTGGCAGGAGCAGGCATGGGAATTGGAGGCGTTTAGGTATGGATGGATCCAACGCAGCAGCCAAGACGCAGACAGGAGAGCAGACCAGATGAACTTACCGCCGCCAGTCGTGAGAATATTTTGTTGTGTTTTTGTGTGGAGTCCGAGAAGATCTTAACTTACCTTTGCCCAAACTTACCTTTACCTTTGCCTTTGCCACACTCCCGACCGTTGTTCCTTCACCATCAAGAGCCCATCCAGATCCAGGGATTTTCCAATTTCCATGGCAACTGCTACGCGGCAGTTCTCTCTCTCTCTCTCTCTCTCTCCACCCAGTTGACGTATTGACAGCGTAGCTATAAAATATTTTTGCTTATTTTTGTGAAATATATTTCATGGCACTGCACATCACAGCACAGTCTTAATAATAAATACTAAAAAGCCATGATGAGCTGCCCAAGCACACACAAAAGCCATCAAAGCCGCCAAGACTCAGTCCTGGAGCTGAGGCTGACATTGGGGCGGTCTCTGGAGCTGGAGCTGGAGCTGACGCTGACGAGCTTGCTGTGCCGTGCATTCCCAATGGATTTGCTCGTGCGTGTCGACAAGAATTTCAATTTGCAAACAATAAATTTGAGCAGCCAGTGGCTGCTCCTTGGAAGCAAGCAAAAAAAAAAGAAAGCGACTCCCAGCTATGTTTAATAAAGAAGAAATATTTTGCTTTTCTCTTTGGCTTCGTGTTGCAAGTGACAGGCAAGTGACAATTCCCGCAGTCTGTTTCAAGCTTGACAAATAGAATTAGATGCCGAATTAGAACTAAACATCTTCAATTTGTGATTTCAAAAGTGACAGACGCGGGCAGGCACAGCTCTGAGGCTCAGCTTTAAGCGGCCATCGGGCAGCCATTGCCGTTGGGCCTTCTTCTGGTCCAGGCAGACGCAAAACGGAAACGCAAAACAAAAGCGGAAATTAATCAATTTCCGTGTTGCCAGCCATTAAAAACTACAAAGGCAGTCGAGAGAGCAAAGCTGAAATAAAGTAACACACAACAAAACGAAGATGAGGCTGGAGTTTGTGGAGCTGCAAAATGGTTTCATGTGGACAGACTTGTGCCACAGAATAGCTGCTACAATTGAATGCATATTTTTATTTATCACAAAGAAGGCTTGTAGCTGACTGCTGGAAGTGGCTGCTAAGGAATAAATATGGCCATCCACTGCCTCGGATCCAGCGCACTTTTCACGATAGCAAACAGATCCGAATGCGCATCCGCCTCGTCTTCAGAGTTCGACATGTTGGCATAGATCGTATAAATCACATAAATAAAGCCAAATTCTATAACTAAAAGGGTAGATCTGATTGCTAAATATGTCTAAAATAACTTTCTATAAATATTACCCATTGTCAGCATGGAAATGATGATGTTGGTCAGCGCCTCAATGGCATCGCCCGCACACAGCTCGAAGAGCCACCAAAGCACAAAGAAAAGATCCAAGAGTAAGCCAGCAAGGCACCAGATTAGCCAGCATAGCATCAGCTCTGGTTTGTGCTGTAAATGGGGGATGTTTAAGGAGGGATATTCTGGCTAAAGCCACACAACTTTGCCCTCACCCATGTGATGCCTGCGATCATGAGCAAGGTAACCACAATCCACACATTCAACAGAAACAAATATGCCCAGAATATCCAAGTCTTCGTGGACTCCTTCAGGTATCTGTGACCCAATAGACCTAGGAGGGAGCACAAGGCTTAAGATCACAGATTTACGGCTGCCATTTGCTTACCTCTCAGAGTTGGCTTGGCGTTGCCTTCAGCTGTTGGCTGCTCGACATCATTGAGCTCACTTTGGTGGGAGCGACTACGCAGCAAGTAGAAGATCATCAGCTCAAAGACCAGCACGCCCAGTATGTCCATCCAGCCAATGGCCAGGCCAAAGGCATTCAAGGCATTTATCATGTCTCTTCTCACAGCTCTCTGTCTTTGTCTCTAAGTTTCCCAGCGGCTGCTCTGTTGACACGAAAAAAAGGAAACTGAAACTGGAAGTGAAATGTTCAAAAAGGTTTTTGTAGCACCCTGGGGGGGGCCCCGCTCCAACACTTCCTTGAACCGAGTTGCAAATGAGCGCGAAAAAAGTAAATTATATTTGTCAACGGGGGATTCTCTCACACTCAGCCAGAGTAATGGCTCTGTCTGCGTGTGTGTAGCCGCCGCACGTATTTCATCAGCATGGCATTATGTACATATATAGCAGGAGTATGTCCCATTTTTTGCCATGCATAAATAGACGCGACGAGCAACCTCGGCAGCCAAGTCAGCCCCCGAGCACAGACCGAGAGACTTGGCTGCTGTTTCCGTTTCCGTTTCCGTTTTAATACCTTTGAGTAAGGCCACACTTTGGGCATGCTCTGTCAGGCGATCAAATCTACTTTCTCTGTAGTGTCAAAAGTGATCTCTAAGCTGCTGTTTTCCCCCTGAAAATATGCTCCAGCCAGAGACCACTTTATTGCTGGGCGCCTATGTGATTGCCATTTTCGATCTGCTGTGCGCTTCGCTCTTCACTGGACTCTGTCTCAATACAATCTTTGAGCATGTAAGAGACACCCTATAAGAGTTTACCAGACTCTACCAAGTGCTAACTGCACCCACAGCTCAGTTGGCTGTCCATGTTTGCCGTGGTTTTTGGCATCTTCTGGGTCTCTATGATTTTTGTGCTCTTTCTGGGCATTTATGCGGTACGCCAGCAAGTGGCATAAGCCCAAATTGGTTGGCCGTGTATTACCCTGCCCGTTTAATTGCAGCGCAATCCCAGATGTCTGCGTGCCTGGATCCTCTTCTCCATGGGCGGCATCCTGCTGGAAATGTGTCTGCTGCTGTATGCCGTTTTCCGCCAGAGTAAATTCCAAATTGGATTGGTCAGAAATGGACTGTTTCTTGTAGCGAGTTTGAGTGAGTTTTGCAAATATTTTCAAGCACTTCTATATGGGTTCTTGTTGCAGTTGTGGAGCTTATTTTCCTGTACACCGTCTGCCAGTTCTACAAGGCGCTGGCACGCTGTAAAGTTTGCCAACGATCGCTGGAAATCAAAGGCAAACCGCGATAAATAAATCTTTACTTGTACAATTTTCTTAGGGTATTTAAAGCTTCGATTCAGCATCATGCGACTGTCTTTTCCTTGAGTTTTTGCTGCGCAAATTATTTTAAAAGGATTTTGTGTTTAACATTGGCACACGCACGTCGCCCGTAGCCCGTAGCCCGTCTGTATGCCAGAGTGGAGTGGTCTCTGCATCCTTGCGGCTTTAAAGACAAAATACTTCAGCTGCAGCTTGTTTTATTTTTAATATAAGTAGAACGGAGCAGCTGGAGTTCTGATGTTAAAAACAAAAATAAAAATCCTAGACCAATCCTTGGCGCATTCTCTTCGCCAGATTATTGAGCATCGCTTTATCCCGCTGCCAGCGCACCTTGGCGAGCCGCTTCTGGCGCTTATACTCGTACTCCGCCTCCTGTCTGACATCCCTCACCTGTCCATCAGCTCCACCTTTGGCTCTTGGACTCTGCTTGTTCTGCGCATTGTCGTATCCCGTCATTTCCAGATACAACAGATGAACGATGTACACAAATGTCATTTCCACAGCTGCAAAAAGAGAGCTGCATAAAGAAAGGTCCCTTGACCTGAAAAGAGCTGAACTCACCCAAGCCCACAAATGGGAAGACCGTGATTTTGACACCCTCCCAGTTCACAGAAACGGCCAAGGTCAGGCCATAAATGAGTATAATGCCATCCAATAATATGCCCAGACAGGTGAACGCCAACCAGCAACGAACCAAAGTCAATTGGCGCCTGTAGATGCCCAGCACCAGCACAATAATTACTAGGATCCAAAATATGGTAAAGATCAATGCAGCCAGCAAGGTCCAATGGTGCTAGGGAGGATTATTTGCTAAAGTAGTTCATGGCTGAGTAAACCCTCTCTTACATTCTTTGCATAGAGCATGCCAGAGACGACGGCAAAGAGCACGGCAGAGACCAGGTCGAGCAGTGCAATGGCATAGGCGCACAGCACTAAATATCCATCAGAATTCGACGACGACGACGACGAACCCATTGCCACAGCCAAAAGTTCATCAGAGCTCGGGCACTGGCACTGGCAATGTTGTCTACTAAATCAAAGCTATAATGATGATAAGCACGTACTTTCCAAGGGGGTAACGAGTGGGCGCACCAGAGCTCTTGCCCTTGCCCTCGGACTGGCGCTCTGGTGCTGGTCCTGGCTGTTAATCAATGCCGTTTGATTGCCAAAACTCCACCTCAGCCTGCCATACACTGGCCACAGTGGTTCCACACCAATTTTCATTCTTGCAATTATATTTATGGTTGCCCCAACATGTCTCGCCCCTGTGAGTCCCAAAAGTCAACCAATACCAGTGTGATTTGACTCCGCCCACTGCGCAGCGACCTCCACTGACTATGTGACAAGTTTGTGTGAACATCTGTCCATCCGCTCGTCCTTTCGTCCTTCATTTATGGCATTTGTTTTGTCAGCAAGCCTTGGAGATTGGATTCCTGTGCCCATTGGGAGAGGGCATGGGCTTAGGGTGGGAGCAACGTGACTAGCAGCTCGAAGACAGGCCACAAAAAAAATAATATTGTATAGAAAAACCACACAAGTCAATTAATATTATTATTATTATTGTTTTGTGGAAGAAAAGAATTGATTTGGCCCCACACTCTTGGCCAGTAAATTGCAGAAAAAGAAATTATATTTGTTTCAGGTATTTCTTTTGAATCTATAAGATATATATTTTTTATACCAACCCCAAGCTCTACTTAGTACTTATTCCTGCCATCTTTTCGTATCTGTGGCTGGATATGCTGACGTTTCGCTGTGCAGGTCACTGGGCGTGAAAAGTCTGTGACTTTGGGCATTCCCTTGCTCGTGGTGGTGTAGCTGGTAAAGGTGACTCACTCTTCGATAATAACTGTAAACCAAATACAGACAAGTGCACTCGACAACTGCAATTGGTACGGGATACATAAGTGCAAACAATGGCCATGTTTTGTATACCTATTCCAAAGTAGAGTACAGTCCAATGGAGGAAATGCAACCAGTCAAAGGTGAGCGATGAAGTCACATTCCACACCAGATACACAATGTCCGTGAGTGTGCCAATGCCCGAGAAGAAGAGCCAGAATATGAAGAGCAGCGGACGACCCTTGAGAGTTATGTATTCGAATTATGGCAATGAAATTGGAGTCAGTCTGGAGCCACATTTACCTGCCACAGGCCCACAAAGAGTGCAACAACAGTCAGAAACCAAACGATGGTGCCCAGAAAAGCCAAAGTCGTGTAGAGATTCGTCTGGTTGGGCACAAAGTTAGTGAGAGTAGTGGTAGAATTTAGCCTCAGACTGCCACTTACATGCGTTATCAACAGACCCGTGGTATCCACCAGAAAGTACAGCGAGTGAAACAGTTCAAAGGCGTCAATCGCATAGCAGACCATCAACAGATAGTCCCTGTGCGCTGGCAGCATTTCTTCCTGATGTTCCCTCATTTCTTCGGAATATGTGGCACAATGTTGTATACGAAATATAAATATATTTTATTTGGCAGTGAAACACACAGCCAGCCAAGCAAGTTACAGTGGGGAAAGTGTACAAAATCGAACAACGAATCATTTCTTGGCTTTCTTTTTGGCTTCCGCTTTCTTCTTGTCCTCCGCTTTCTTCTTCTCCTGTGCCTTCTTCTTCTCCTTGTCTTTCTTCTCCTGTGCTTTCTTTTTGTCATCGGGTTTCTTCCTTTCACTGCCACTCCTCTTTCTGTCGGTGCTTTTCTGACTGCCGCCCGATTTGCAGCCTATTAAAGATTTAATTTAATTTAAAAACAGCAAAAGTTGAGTTGAGATTTTCATTGCTTACAGCCCTTTTCAGCTCCCTTCTTCCCTGTGCCAGCCATTAACAAATAATAACGATATATAAAATATAGGCAGGTAAATTCCACAACTGAAAATGGTTCCAAAATGTAACCACAGGTCGAAAATTCTCATCGGAAAACCAACTTACGTATGCCAATAAAAATGATTGTGAACTCCTGCAGATGATCCCAGTCCACAGTTATGGAACTTGTAATGCCCCATATGAGAAATAAAATGTCCACAACGAAACCCACGGCAGAGAACAGGATCCAGGCACGAACAAACGCAGGACGACGCTGTGGAGGCAGTTAGTCAAAGTCAACCCAACCCCAGGCAGGCTCTACACTAATTATACGCACCTTCCACAGACCCACAAGCAGCAGAATGACAACCAGCACCCAGAATATAGCGCCAGCTAGGGCCAGGCTGGAAATGAGATGAAACTATGGCCAGGGAGAGTCACCAAAGGAAGACCAAAAGGACATGCCAGACACTCACCCGCACCACCAGCAGCATGGTGGCCTGCACCGCAAAGTACAGAGCATGGATCAGATCGGTGATGGCTATAAAGTAGCATATTTTCAGCAGATTCTTTTCGATGGCCGCTATGAGCGGATTGCTGGGCAGTTTCTTTTTGTTGTCTTTACTCTTTGTGGGGCTTTCCTTTTTCTTTGGTTCCTTTTTGGGTGATGGCTTCTTGGGGGGTTTCTTTTTGTCTGTGCCCATGATTTACGTAGAAAATAAATCTGTTTTTTAAGTTTGAAGTTAAGTTTAACAAAGCACATGAGATTTGAATGCTGTTGTGTTTGGCGCAATAAATTGATTTTGAAACATCAATGGCTTTCAAACTGTAATCAGCTGTGCGCGCAAACTGTGCGCGCAAGCTGTCCCATGAAATATATTTCGATATACATGTATATCGATTCTCCTAAAGCAGCACTAACCAAGGCTATATTTCGGTATATTTCCGATGGTCTGTCGGTACATTTTATCGATAAGTCCGCGGTCACACTGGAAGCCAATGTTTACTACAAAATTTGCCATTTATTTAATTTTGAGTTTAAATTAGTTTAGGCTATAAGTTCAACATGCCCATCTTGGTCAAAACGTAAGCATCCCAAACACAAACTTAGCTAAGAAGTCTATACTTAAGTTTAAGAATTGTGAGTGACAAAAAATGTGTTGTCGGTCCATGATGCAATTTTACAAGGAGGTCTCGTCGGCAAAAATAGTCTACTAGCCATGCTGTTAATAAGTGCGAAGGAAAGGGTTCTGCTTATTAAGTGTGAGTGAAACGACAGTATATTGTTATGATTAGCCTTTAGATGGCATGGGGTTTAAAGTGATCAGCATTGATCCCCAACATTTGGCACGAAATAAGCAATTTATTACCCTTGGAGGGATGGATATCCGAATTGAGGAAATTTGGGAAGTCTCTGGCTCCAGTCTATGCAAACAATTTTGCAGATAAGATATTTGAGTACAGGCACTAACCAAATAGTAATAAGCAAAATAAGCAAAATTTGTGGAAAATTAAATGCTGATTCGAGTTCAATTACAGTTTTTAAGCTAATAGTCGTAAAAATGTAATATTGAATAGAATAGCAAAGTCGAGGAAAATTATTTAAGATTTACGGTATATTTACAGTATATTTTGAAGATACAAGGCTATATTTTGGTATATTTTATCGATAAATCCGATTTCACAGGTCGGCTTTGTCGGCTTTTTGTGAAATTATTTAATTTTTTTTTTAATGGGGCCGCCAAAAAAGTCTAAGAAGGATCGCAGTGGTGGCGACAAGTCAAGTGAGTACTGGCCGCAACGAAAATTGTACCATTTCGGTGTATTAATGCGGAACTCACAGGCAAGAAGCGCCGCGCTGAGGATGATGCATTCACTCAGCTGGTGGAGGACAATGACAGTCTGGATGCCACTGAATCGGACGGTATACCGGGTGCTGCCTCCAAGAATGCCGAGACAAATGATGAACAGGTCGTCACGGATGAGTACGGAGCCAAGGACTATCGTGGGCAGATGCAGCTGCGTCAGGATCACGGCAATCGCCCGCTGTGGGTGGCTCCCAATGGCCATGTGTTTCTAGAGTCCTTCTCGCCGGTGTACAAGCATGCCCATGATTTTCTCATTGCCATCTCGGAGCCCGTGTGCCGACCCGAGCACATCCACGAGTACAAGCTGACTGCCTACAGTCTATACGCCGCTGTCTCCGTGGGCCTGCAAACCCACGATATTGTGGAGTATCTTAAACGCCTGAGCAAAACAAGCATTCCCGAGGGCATTCTCGAGTTTATTCGTCTATGCACGCTCTCCTACGGTAAGGTGAAGTTGGTGCTGAAGCACAACAAATATTTCATTGAGTCGCCTCATCCGGAGGTGCTGCAGAAGCTGCTCAAGGATCCAGTCATCCAAAAGTGTCGCCTCATACGCAGCGAGGGCGAGGGCTTCATTCAGGGTACAGTGGATAGCAAGGCCATCACTCAGTTTGGAACGAAACTGCCACCTGGCGCAGAGGACAAGCCAGCAGAGGATCCGGCAGCGGCTGCTGCTGCTGCCGGGGCAGCACCTGCTGATGGTGCACCCGTTGTGCCCGACGACATTACCGACTTCTACGAGAAGATCGACAAGGAGGAGGAGGACGAGGATGAGGCGAATCTAAAAACCGTCTCGTTTGAGGTGGCTCAGGAGAAAATTGAAGTTATCCAAAAGCGCTGCATCGAGATTGAGCATCCCCTGCTGGCTGAATATGATTTCCGCAACGATACCAACAATCCAGACATCAATATTGACCTAAAGCCCGCTGCCGTGCTGCGTCCCTACCAAGAGAAGAGTCTGCGCAAGATGTTTGGCAATGGGCGAGCTCGTTCGGGTGTCATCGTCTTACCCTGTGGTGCCGGAAAGTCTCTGGTGGGCGTCACAGCCTGCTGCACAGTGCGCAAGCGTGCCCTGGTGCTCTGCAACAGTGGCGTGTCGGTGGAGCAGTGGAAGCAGCAGTTTAAGATGTGGTCCACAGCAGACGACAGCATGATTTGTCGTTTCACATCGGAGGCCAAGGACAAGCCCATGGGTTGTGGCATTCTGGTTACGACCTACTCCATGATCACACACACACAAAAGCGCTCCTGGGAGGCAGAGCAGACTATGCGCTGGCTGCAGGAACAGGAATGGGGCATCATGGTGCTGGACGAAGTGCACACCATTCCGGCCAAGATGTTTCGTCGCGTGCTGACCATTGTCCAGTCCCATTGCAAGCTGGGACTGACTGCCACGCTGCTGCGTGAGGATGACAAAATTGCGGATCTGAACTTCCTCATTGGACCCAAGTTGTACGAGGCGAACTGGCTGGAACTGCAGAAGAAGGGCTACATTGCTCGTGTGCAGTGCGCTGAGGTCTGGTGCCCCATGTCGCCGGAGTTCTATCGCGAATATCTGACCACAAAGACCTCCAAGAAGATGCTGCTGTATGTGATGAATCCCTCAAAGTTCCGCAGCTGCCAGTTTCTCATTAAATACCACGAGCAAAGAGGCGACAAGACGATTGTGTTCTCGGACAATGTATTTGCGCTGAAACACTATGCCATCAAGATGAACAAACCCTTCATCTATGGACCAACCTCACAGAATGAACGTATTCAGATTCTGCAGAACTTTAAATTCAATTCCAAGGTTGGGTATAATCTGGAGAATCTTTCGTTAAAGCAGAGTTTAACGTTTCTTCCTGCAGGTCAACACAATCTTTGTGTCAAAGGTGGCCGACACCAGCTTTGATTTGCCCGAGGCCAATGTGCTCGTTCAAATCTCCTCACATGGTGGCTCCCGACGTCAGGAGGCTCAGCGTTTGGGTCGTATTCTTCGCGCCAAAAAGGGTGCCATTGCGGAGGAATACAACGCCTTCTTCTACACACTCGTCTCGCAGGATACCATGGAGATGAGCTACTCCCGGAAGCGTCAGCGTTTCCTTGTCAATCAGGGCTATAGCTATAAGGTTATTACACACCTCAAGGGCATGGACACGGACACCAACTTGATGTACGGCCTGCAGGAGGAACAGGCGCAGCTGCTGCAGTTGGTTCTCTCTGCCTCCGACTTGGATTGCGAGGATGAGAAGCTGCCGGGCGAGCCGGGCTATCGTCCAGGCGGCACCACCAAACGCGCCGGTGGCCTAAGCTCCATGTCAGGCGGCGATGATGCCATTTACTACGAGCATCGTCGCAAGAATGTTGGCAGCGTTCATCCTTTGTTCAAGAAGTTCCGAGGATAGACTTAAGCACTTTGTGTACTCCCTTTGTGAAGCTTAAATATAATTATAAGCAAAGCAGAAATGAGGTTTTCTTTGAGGTGTTTTTGGGGCTATTTAGATAATCGTTAAATAAAGAATTAATCTTTAATATTTTTTTATATTTCTAGACAATCGGCTGGCACTGGCGATTGGGCAATTGTGGAGCTGCAAGGCGATCTGGAAGTAAGAAATGATCAGGATATGCATGATCAGTTCATTGGAGATCTTTACTACAACAAATATGGCCAACCGGTGCGTACACAGATAATCCTCGATAGCTGTTGCTAATGCTCAAACTCCTTTACAGATTCTCATCATAGGCCACCACATACTGCAGGGACGCGAACAGAAGCTGGATAAGCCATTCGCTGTGCTAGAAAAATCGAAAACCAATGAGGGACAGCGCCTCTTGGACAGCAGCCAGGTGGCCACGCAAGATTTGAGCCTTTTAAATGCCACCTCTGGTGCAGAACGCACCGTCCTGGATCACACCATTGCCCAAGAGCACAAAAGTCGCCAGCGTACAGAGTATACAGTGCGTGCAGTTTGCACCAAAAAGTTAATCTTCAAGTCACGACCGAAGCCCATTATAGCCAATGTGGCCAAGACTGTTTGAGTGCTTAATAGATACGAATTTAGTTTTCCTTTATGACTATACGATTCCATAGATGTGCTTAAGTTTTTGTCTACAATTAAACGATTTCCATTTCACGTTCGATGCCAACGAATTTCAGTTGCTCCGTGGGTCCGTATCTGTAGTCAAAGAAGAGCTCCTCGCCCGGCTGAATGGCACGCTTGGCAAATATGCCAATGCGATGATCGCCGGTGACCATCATTACCTTGGCATAGCAATTCGGATTGATGGAATGGTTGGCGAAACGGATTTTGTTGCCCTTGCGCGTGGCATCCACCACAAAGTCGTTGTTCAAATTGAACAGAAACGAGCACATGTACTTGTCGTAGACCTTGCCACGACGATCAGCCTCGTCCTGAGAGATAATCTCGCCACAGTACTCGGAAATGAATTCATTCTTCTGTGCGCCTTCCTTCAAAAAGATGCCCCAGCCAGCAATGTCCGAGGGAGCCATCAGCAAGTGTTTGTCTAGGGGGAAGACAAAAATGTTTGAAAAGAAATCTTAAAGTTAATTTAAATAAAACTTACGCAGTCCACGCTGCACGCACACATTCTTGCACGTGATCTTCTGCAGCTTGAATTCGTTGGCGCCGCATGCATTGCACAGATCCGGATCACACTCGCGTACGGCCAGATAGCAGGGGCACTGCTTAGTGTTGCACTGAGCCTTGCAGCGGCAGCCGGGGAAACGATTCTGGCATTCGGTGGTGCAGTTGCAGAACTTCTCGCAAAAGTTCTGCGTCTGTATGCACGAGCAGTTGGCATCGCATGGGCCGGCATGGTCACAGGGCGTATAGTTGTACACGTGATTCGACGACGAGTCCTTCTTCAGCTGAATCTTGCGGCAATGCAGCGACCACAGACGTTGCTTCTTTTTCTTCTTGCGCGGCGGTGTGTAGTCCAGCAGCAAATCGTCAATGCTGAACTCGGCATCGTCCTTCTGGGCAAACTCGTACACTTGACGACAGGTCTTGGTGAGCATATTGTGGGCTATGGCGCAATAGTTCCTCAAGTAAACTTTATGCAGCACACGAAATAGGGCTTGATCGGCACCAGTCCAGACATCTTTCGTGCTGCCACTGTCCAACATGTCAGCTGAGCGAGAGGAGTTGGTTAAAGATTGATTGAAGATTGATTTGATGGGGAAACCTACCCATAATGGTGGTAGTCTCCTCGTCGGCAGCGACGTTAACAGTGAGTGCATTATCCTTGGTATTCTCATTGCTGAAATCCTTGCTGCTGAACTGACTGTTGCTGTCATTGCTGTCCTCAGAGCTGGCCTCATTGCACGAGTCAATCGGAGGCGTTTTGCTGTCGGCCGCTAGTTTTTCCTTCATGCCATCCTAAGGGGTCACTCAATAAAGTTAAGTAAATATATTTAGAGTAAGTAAACTAAGTAAACTTACAATCAACATATAGCAGGAGTTGCTGCACGGATCTGCAAATGTTTTCATCTCTTCAAAGACGCGCTTCTGCAGATTGGGACCCGCATGGTTTTGCAGACCTGCGGGAAAGAAAATCAAAAAGATTAGCACAAACTTCATCGAGAGTTCACACTCATTACAACATGTCCATGAAACACTTTATTGGAGTTAGCATGAGGGTAATCGTTATTTTTGGTTCGAAATAGAGACACAGAGAGAGAGGAGATATAGAGAGGAGAAATGTTCAAGGCAAAGCCACACAGGAATGAGGTGAGTTGACACCAAGAAATCAATTTTGATACAAGATATAATATTTTGTTTGGCCAATTGTTCCACAGAAACACACATAAATACACACATATACATATTCATACATATGTGCAGATATATAGTAAGACAGGTAGATGATGATGTGGAGGCGTGGACGAGCTAACGGCATGAGTGTGTGTGCGTGTGGTTATCGAAACAACAACTACAACAACGACTCACCCTGGACATGGTGACCTAAATTGCAATTTTCGATTTTCAATACAAATTTATACAAAAAAATGTTGAATCATTTTGTGTGGTTTTTGGGAATAGATTGTTTTTGGTTTTTTGCAAATTATTATTTGCAAAAAAGGAAAAGAAATAGCAAAACAAAACGTAAAGTCATTAAGTAACCCAGTTGAAAGCCGCTGCCCAGACTTGAACTTACGATGGAGGAAGCAATCATATTTGAAGCAGCGCCGACAGAAGAGCGTGTGAAAGGAGTGCATGGTGCGCTCACGGGAAACACTCTCCGCCTTCATGCCATCAATGTTTGGAGTGCACTCCTGCGGACGCTCTGGATCCTGATGCTCAGTCAGCTCAATGTATCTGAGAAATAAATTCCATTATAATCCCGTTCAATTCAGATAGATCTCCCAGCTGCACTCACTTCTCTTTCAGCTCCTGTGCCGTACCCTTGTCTGGGAAATTGGCGCTGATTGCCTGGAATATAATTGGTGCTGGAAATGGCAGCTTCTCCTTCACCTCCTCCACAGCGGGCTTAACGTCGCCAGCAGCATCAGCGCCCTGTGGCTCTTCCTTCTTCTCGTCGACTGGGGGTGGCTCTTCTTTGCCAGCCCCATCCACATCAACATCTTCCCCCTCATCAGCTTCCTTGGGCTTCACCACAGTCTCTGCTTTCACTGAAGTGCTTGGAGCGGGCTCCTCCAACTCCTTGCTGTGGGTGCGCATCAACGCATGCACCAGCTCAACAAAGATGGCATCGTCCATGAACGAGGGATCCTTGTCGCCATGCACTTTGCCGTCATAGTTCTTGATCAGCTCCTCTATGAACTTGCCATCTTTGTCCAGCACCTCGTCGCCCATGTAGGGTATGTTGTGGAGCACCGTCTCGTCCTCGACCATGAAGTTCTGCTGTGTGGGCGCCCACGTATACATGGTGGGTATGGGTGTCACGGCATTGATCACACAAATGGGCACTCGCTGTGGGCCGCTGGGGTTGCCGCTGTAGCTGGTGATTTCCGCGCGCTTTACACATCCCACATGCGGGGGATCGTACGGCTTAGCCTGCCACACCTTCGATTCACAGTACAGATCCTGCACATTGTGGTTGTGCTCGTCCCTGAAAGAATGAAAATTGTTAGCATTTCCAGACAGACATTTCCTCTTCTTCCCGTCGCGCCGACACCTTCCCGCGCTTACCAATTTTTTATCCACGCCTCCTTTATTTCGTCTGCGCGCTTGTGACGCTTTTGCTGCCGTATCTTAAAGTACTCCGACTTGACGCGACGCTTCCACTCTGCCGGCACCTTGGTGCTGCTCATTATGCCAGTAAATGTATTGCAATCAAGCTGAATTTGAGTAAATTGTATGATTTAATTCGCGACTGACCGCCTTTTTCTTCTGTGTCTGCGAGTGTGACCAGTCGTACGCCAAAAAGTGTTGCAAGACGGCGAGGGAGCAGCAAGAGTGCTGGTAAACGGCAAAGGTCATCAAAACCATAAAATAAAATATAAAAAAAAGGAAAATACTATGTAAATCCTGTCGAAATCTACACACAACTACACACAATTACACAAAATTTAAGCTGGACAAATTTAAACTCATCAAAACCGCGACGAGCATCGAGGAAATTGCTGCAATGGAACCCTCCGCTTGCGAAGGCGAGTTGCAGCCCGCCCACAAAAAGGGCACGCCAGACTGACTATGTTTACTAACTTTTCGCCGTTTTGTTGCTATTGTTATATGTCTCTTGCAGATCTGAAGGCATTCGAGCGGCGGCTAACCGAAGTGGTTCTATCGTACAGACCTCCGACGTTCCGATGGCGCAGTAAGTGGAATCTCCTTCTGGTACAGTCCACCGGTAATAACAGTCGAACCTTTTTCAGTTTTACTTTCTGCCATGTCGATGTGCACGGCCATTGGTGCCTGGTACTGGCTGAGGGATCCCCGGACCACGGTTGTGCCTCTGACGGAATCCCTATGGATACATCCAATTTTCACCGCGGCCACAGTAACCTTAAGTAAGAGCCTGACCACTTGGCCGAGTATTATCACCGATTAACACTTGCCAATCTGGTGCCACCAGTTGTACTCTTTATTTTAGGCATACAGAAGTTGGTGATAGCGCCACAGATAATCACATCGCGGACGCGTAATGTGCTGGGGGACTTCAACATGAGCTGCGACGACACGGGGAAGCTGATATTGAAGGCCCGCCAAAGCAATAACAACAGCACATGAGCTGCCCACAGCTATGCAGACAATCAATCAATTAGTTAATGCATCCAAAAACTATCTAACCCCCGCCCCCTGCCCCGCTTATATTGCTCCGGACACTCTTGTTTTATACACGAAATTTTAGCGTAACTATTTCCCCCTGCCCTGGCCCCTACTTACACGACTTCCATTTCCGTTTAGTTATAGAAAATTCATTGTAAAAAACAAAGTGACTACTGTTAAGCTTAATGTATTTCGTTATGGCGTTACCCCTCGCTGCCAAAATACAACCAAAAAAGTAAAGCTGCATTCAAAACCAATCAACTTAATATTATATTGAGCGCAGCCGCTGATTGTGCAATGTCAAGTGTTTTTTGCCATTTAGAATTGGAGAAAGCAGAGTATAAATAGTGGAGCAGACTCACTGCAATGCATCAGAAGCAATCTGTACACCGTAAAGAAGCCATCATGAAATTCGTTCTCTTTTGCACTCTACTCCTAAGCATTGCCTTGATCATGGCCTCAGGCAAGGATTACAGCGGGTAACATTCGCTGGCAGTTGCTACCAACAGGTTCTCGTTTCTTACAGCTCAATTTGAAGGTGAGGATCGGGAGCTGTATCCCCAGCACCAAGACCACCATGACCACAGGGAACGTTTGGTACGCAGCCTGAAACCTGAAGAAATTTCCAATATCGATAAATCCAAGGGAGATGTGGTCGGCTGCTGCGGCTAGTTCTATGTATCAGAAAAGGGCATGCCAGAAACTTTCTGTAAAGGACCAACGAGCCCCTCCCTATTTAATTTAAATAAAGAGCAATATTGAAAAGCAATCCTTTCTTCTGCTTGATCTTGCGTGATATTTTTATTTTGATTCAGCATTCTCTATAATTCTTTTCACTTTACTTTCATCCTAACTCCTGCACTTACCGCATACATATATAAATCTTTTATTAGTTTTTAGTTTTGTGTGATTTGCTCATCTCCATTCGTTTGTTTGTTGTTTTTTTTTTTTGGTACAAATTGTATGCGTTAAGTTTTGCCATTTTCATTATTAATTTTGTTTATGTCTATTTTGTAAATCTTAAAAAGTATTATTATTGCGCAGCTTTTGTTCGCTCTATCCATGAAATTCAGTTTGTAGATTTGTTTATCAAAGTTGATGGCGTGGAAATACTCGTATGTATATATAAATGCATCTGCTTTCTGCTTGTGTGGTTCAGTTTTGGTAGGCATTCGCATTCATAATATTACCAATAATACAATTGTTGTAAACAATTAATTTATGAATTATATTTGTATCTTTACACTTTGTTCTACACTCTCTCGTCGGCTCTCACTCGCTACTCGAAGTGTCCTCTTTTAATCTCTCGCTCGTTCATGTACAAAAAAATACTCTAGATTTGATTTAAAAGTTTTTCCTTTTCGTTTTTATATTTATAATCTCTCTTCTATGCTGTTTGTAGTGAAATTTAGGATTTATCTCATACCATAAATTGGTTTAAACTTTGCGCTAATTTGTCGTTAGGTTAATAGGGTTTTCGCGGGTTCTTCATTAGCTTAACACTAGTGCTAGATTATTAACTAAATATTGTTGTTGTTGTTGCTGCTGATATTTTACGTCCGAGTCCGTTTTCGTCACGTTAAAGCAGTACGAAACTCAGAAATACACGTGCTGGAAATGCATTAATTATTACAAAATAAAACTAGAGGCTGCCTCCTGGTGCACAGACACACACGCACACACACACAATCTTTACAAATAATACAGAAGCCTATTAATTACATAAATAAAACCATTTAAATCAAATACAAATACAAATTAACGTTAATGAACTTTCTGCTCGCCTATCCCCCTGCTGCCCGCCGATATTATGCAGCCAGCATATTGCGTATGTTCTTCGGCGTATTCTCCTCATTCAGATGCTTCGTCGTGTAGCGCAGGGCATTGAGCAGTGGCTCCGCCTTGATGGCTGGCTGTGCCTGCAGCAGTCGCACACAGCCCTTTACATCCACGTGAGCGCCGCGCACAAAAGCTCCAACTGGATGCACATGGTCGTAGAGTATGACGAGGCCAACCATCACACGCAGCACCAGCATTTTCGTATCCTCCCGCTCGATCTGTTGCAGCAGTTTTCTACAAAAAAGATTTAGCATTAGTTTATAGCTTGAGTAGCGATGAGAGGCTGATACTCACGGATTCTCCAGCATTCTGAGGCACACCTTGGCCATGGTGCCCAGCGTTTCCGTTGTATTTTGCACATCGTCGGCATTGTCGTTGACAAACTTCGATGTCGCCTCGCTGAGCACCTTCAGCATGGGCGTGGCATGGGCATAGAACAGTGACATGCGATTGGCCAGCTCCGTGCTGACCATCATGTTCTCCGTTGAGTCCACACGCTGGCGGCTCACGATGCGTCTGTAGTAGCTGAAATCATTCTGTATGGCGGGTGTTTTCATCTGTCAAAGGGAGAGAGAAAAATTTGTATTTTTAGTTTTTTTTTTTTTGTGATCCCAGTTCAGTGTGTAACTGTTGTCAAGATGGAGCGTACTCCGGGTGGTGGTGTTATGAAATGTTTCAACAAGAAAATGGGTAAAGACTTTGCCCATCCCAACAGATATGAAATATCGGACCGCAATCGCAGCGGGGGCTCGCGCACGGGCCAGGACTCTGATGGACGGCAACGCCTCAACGAAATGGATGCACTGGAACGAGACTTTGAGAGGAACATAGTGCAGCTGGAGAGTTCACTGGGTTACCTAGATCTTCGCGAAAAGTCCATGGCCACCGAATGGATACAGAAATTGTGGGCCTTTCAGCCCAATGTAACGGAGGCCAAGGCGAGGAACGCCATTCTGACCTACTTGATTATGAGCATTGACGACAATGTCTTCAAGCGGGAGCCATTTAACAAATCTCCACCATTTGGCACTCTCTCCGGCATCCAAGCCGTAATGGTGGGTAACACACGCGCACGTACCAGGTTCTATATTCCTGATTCCTTTTGCAGCCCATTACCCAGAACACCATGTGCCTGGAGCCTCCCAGCGAGAACGTCAAGCGCAGATACATGGCCGAATTATTCAAAAATTGCTTTGATTCCGGTAATTTTCTCTCCCAGCTACCAGTGCCACGTGATGGCTCATTTGTTATATTCCACATGCGCCCAAATATATAAAAATGTCCTCTATTCTGCTCGCAAAAACCCAAAACAAATTCTAAATTGAAATAAATAACGTTAAACCACCATAGCAATCAGCTTTTTGTCTTGTTTGTGACAGTGTCTTGCAACACTTGCTGGGTGTCTGCGTGCCGTTGCGACTGGCACCAGCTGTCGCGTTTTCCAGCACTTGCCCTTGTTTTTTTTACGGTTAATTACGGTTGAGACTTCAAAACCATCGTAAAGCCATCCTTAAGTCATCTTGAGGAGCAACCTTCTGTTGTTCCTACTTTCTGGGGCAGCCTTCTGTTGCCTTTGCACCCACACCTACATTTACACATCGATCCATTAAATGACATCTCACTTCTATCTCAGTCTTACACCCGACTACACTTTTTAACATAGCATCACATTGTTTACATTATAAGAACAATGCAAAACCTTGCATGCGCTCATCAACAACCATCGATAGCAACACTCATCAACAAATATCGACAGCCCCATCATCGAACTGAAGTACCTGGTCAATGCGGATTCGCTGCAACGATTAAATACCGACAAAAATACAGTTGAGACTTTAAAATCTAATTGCTGTACGTGACAACTCAATTTGCCAGCGACTTCGTAGTTTTCCCAATTCCACAGCCAGGCCCAGAAACACTTAAGTTGTCAGGGCTGCATATTGGAGCCGTGCGTGAGAAAACAAACTGAGAAAATAACTTCAGAGAGCCGCCGACGCCGCCATGCCACGAATTTCTGAGTCAAGCCGCCGTTGCTCATCCAGCCACTCCTCACCTTGGACAGAGGCGCTTGTCTCGAATCATGCATTAGTTTTGTATACTATGTAACGCTATGGCGAAACCTTATATAAATACGTTATTAGCATAAATCGTTCTGAACAGTCAGAGATGATGTCGCGACCAGGACAGACCCACAACAGCAGCAGCCGAAGCAGCACCCGCTGGGTGAGTGTTTCCATTTCGTATATTATTCAGAGAGGAATATATGATTAATCGTGTAATGATTCCCACAGCACTCATCTGCATCGCTTCTATTGCTGATGATAAATGCAATCTGCTGTGTAACAAGTCAATATGCATCACCTTATGGCAGCAGCAGTCAGACTTATGGCTACAATCTGCCACAACAACAGCAGCAACAGCTTCAGCAGGAAAATGCTTATGCAAGCCAACAGCAGCTGAACTACGCCCAACAGCAGTATCCCTACGTCGCAGCACAAGTGCAATCTCTATGGACTGGAGCTCCCATTGTAGTCAGCGATAATCTATACAGCGCGAACAACAATCTGGGACAGGAACAACAGGAGCAGCAGGAGCAGCAGCAGCAGCAGCAGCGTTATGTACCCATCAACGGCTATTACGGCGAGGATTACCCTGGGCGACAGTCGACACCATTCAGCAATTGGCGCTACAACAATCCCGAGAGGCAGAGGAAGGAACTAGAGGTGCCAACACGTGCAGCGAATCACAACTACAACAATGTGCCTGGATATGTCTACTACCAGCAGCAGGAGGCTCCAGTACAGCCCCGGATACTGCCAGGAATACAGCCTACACTTCAGCCACGATTCCAGCCTGGCTATAGGCCCCAGTTTGGCCCAGAGCTAGACTCCAGCGAAGCACGCCGCGAGGAGGAGCAAGTAGTCCGCATTGGCGGCAGTCGCACGGTGGCCGGTAACAATTATAACCGAAACTACAACGATAATCCAAACTACTTTGAGCCAGCACAACCTTGGCAGCGACGTAACTTCGAGGATAAATATGCCGAGCACTTTTCCAATTATCTCCGCAAATATCCGCAGCGCTTGCAGCCAGTCTACAACACGCGCGAGGACTTTGTTGACAAATGACAAAGAGCTAAGGGAAGCTTCTAGTTTTACATTTTTTAAGAATAAATATTGAATAAATCCAATGACCAAATACACAGCTAAGCATCGAGTATCAAATCCATCGGGACAACTCCTTAAAAGCTACAGAAGTGTCTCCACCAGGAAGCCCAAATTGTGATTCGCTTTCAGAGCGACTTCCCTGATGCTTCTGGATGACTCCTTGAATCAATGGCTTCCCATCTGCTGTATGGTTTTCACGACTAATGCCAATAAAGCATGTCGTTAAAACGAAGCCAGTTACCAGTGAAGTCAATAAATCTTGCAGCATACTTTGTCGCTGCATGGCAGACAACGAAAAGCCGGAGGAACAGCAGCAGCCAGAGGCATAGAAGCCGCCAGAGAGACAATGGGTTTTGTCTATCAAGAAACGGAAGTAGCTGTTAGTTAGGAGGCACGTTTGAGCTATATAAGACTACACAGACACACAGGCAGAGACTCTTCCACTAGAGAATCTGTGTTCAAGTGCATCTGACACTTTGGCCACACAATGAACGTGCAGCATTTATAGCATTTAACATCATCAGCAAGCATCATCATCATCAGCTACATCAACGCTTGCCCATCAAGAGAGCCAGGAAAAGTTGTAGACATCAGAGGGAAAAAGCCGACCGAACGACTACGACAAGGAGAATGACGTTGCGGGCAACTCCCTAACCCGCCCAGCCCCAGCCGCATCCACAACCAAATCGATTTAAGCAAAAGTTTTGCACAAGCGGAAACGAGCCATGGGAAATGCGGAAACTCACAGAGATTTTCCATTAAATGAAATCGATTTTGTTTGGCACAGGCACAAAATAAAAGAGCCACACAGAAAGCTACGAGCTTCGATTTAACCCAGTCTCTGGCTCTCTGTGGCGATTAGTTTGCATATCGACATAGTTTCTTACTTTAACAATTCCATCCGGAACGACTATTGGCTGTTGGCTGTTGGCCACTTCGTTTGCGTGCGTGTCAATGTTGATGATGTTTCACTACAGACGTATGCCCCTGCATGTGGCCAAACGATTTTTCATCAATGAGCCGCAGCACGCGCTGCTACAAGCCAACAAAAGCAATGCAAAATTGAGTGGATTGCGACTGAAAAATACCCTAAAGACGTCTATCAAAGTGGCTGCATAGATTGATAAGTGTTCCCAGCATTTTCCTTGCCAACAAATCCCATTATACCCTGCACAGTCTTCACACCCCTCTAGCACCTTGTGTACCCCTCAGTCAGTCAATTAAAAATGCAACCACGCGCACCATGTGCTGACTGACGGGCACTTGGTTTGGCTTCGTTTGTCTTTGCCTGTCGACAGCCCCCACAAATGGTGGCCCAAGCCTAGCAGCAGACAGAAACGTTGACTGTGGCCACAGCTAACAAACAAACGTTAAAGAAGACAACATTTAATGCTAGCTCTGACCCACGCATCCATGTCTTCAATCCCGTGGGCGTTCTGGCTCTACCAAATATGAACATAGACATGTAACACCCTCGAACCAAACCGCAGCTCCACGCTCACTCACTCACCTTGTACTCATCGAATTTCAATACAAATTCTAAAATCTCGGCCAGCTGCTTGACCAGCGCCTGCTGTGTCTCCAGGTGCTGCGTTGGATTCAGCTTGCCGCCGACCAGTTGACCCAGCAGCTTTGGCACAATCTTGTCCAGCTCCATGGAGTGTTCGTAGCAGCGTTTCAGTTTGGTCACCAGCGGTAGGACGGCACACCAGGCTTTGCCCGTCACCTCGGGCGACGGATCGGCTATGGCTTCGCGGATTTCCTTGCCGGCACCCTGCAAAAAGAAAAACTCAGTCAATATTTCAGTTTCAAACATAGATAATGTGTGTTTGGCATGCGAACAACAAATGGAGCAGCTTGGGGGCACTGCTGGCTCTCCCGATCTGACCACTTTTCATGCATTTATTTTATTACAATCAGCGAACTGTGCGAGAGCGGCTCAAGCGCCTGCCTCTCGTGCTTTAATTTCTATGCCACATGCAACAATAACGATGTGGTAGCCGTCGTTCGTTGACCGACGCAGCGCAGCGATTTTTATCGATGCTTTATGATCTACTAAAATAAAGGAAAAGCACAAACACGAGGCACAAAAGCTAACGAACAACGGTCATTGCATGCTACCTCATATCAGAGGAAAGGAAAGGAGAGGAGTGTGCAGTGGAGAGTTCACTTTTGATGTGCAATCAAACAGCCGCAGCGAAGTGGCGTTGATTATTTCAATTGCATTCGTTTTTCAAATACGTTTTAAGTGGCAATAATAACTGTAAAGAATTCAGTTGGAGATTTTAATCCCAAAACCAAAAGGAAATGGGTTAAACAAACCAGAATGTCGTGCAAAAGGAAATGCGAGTAAACATATTACTTCTTAAATTACAGTTTTTTTATGTTTTAGCACTCAAACATAACAATTTCCTCCCTATTTACCCTTACAATTAAAACAGTGTTGACAAACGTTCACTAACTGTACAATTTCAGCCCTGAGCTTGCCTTTCCATGTAACCCTGGCTGTGTCTTCAAGCCAAAGCCAGGCCCCTGCCAAGCTTCCACTTAATTATGCTGCCGCTTGTTATTTTTGGTGAAACATTACTCCCGTTCCCGCTCTGTTTGTGGTTGCGTGTCTAACCGATTGATGCCGCACCGCATTGGCATATATTAAAGTTAATTATATATTTAGAAAGAGCCTCCAACTCCATTATTAAAAACAGGCGAATTACGCACAGCTCAGTGGGCTGTGTGGCAAGTTCAAGCTACAAGCTGGTAGGAGAAACACGTACAAAAAGACGCCACGAGAGAGCCATTCCATAGAAAATAGGTGTTTGGGGGTCGTGTGGTTATTTTCGGTTTGCACACACATCGCCCCAAACCCATTCCCAGCTCTAATGTAATGGGGCAGCACGTGTTGTGTGTTTATAATTAAATCGCTGCGCATATCAACAAATACAACTCAGACATCAGACGTACCTTTCCTGCACTTCCTTTACTCGCAGTAATCATAATAAAAAATGCAACTGTCTGTTGGTGGCAAGCACACACACAGACAGACGGACAGACTAACGGACAGACGGACACATTGGCATGGCAATGCATTTCTGATGTGTGTGTGTGTGTGCTGGCATCTCTTTTCACTCTACATAATTTACACCTGTCTGTAAGTCAAGTCATGTCCTTGGTCGTTGGCTGCTGTCCCCGCTGCTGCATGCACTTGAGGCAGTACAGAGATGTTTAACGCCCACAAACAAGTAAACAAACCGACGGCAACAGCAGTTGATGGTTGTGTGTGAGGTGTTGCTGTCGTTGACTTGGCCTCGGCATACAGCTCGTCCCTTCCCTTACCCATTTACTGACATTGTTTCGTTTACGCCAGCGACTCTCTAAGGACCCTTGAGGGAGCATGGAGCATGCAGCTCACTCACGGTCATGCAACGGAAACTGCGATGTTGGCTGTGGAGACTCTGGCAAGTTCGTGTGGGCGCGCTCTGTTGTTGTTTACCAGCCAGGCCATGCCAGAGCACAGAGATTTCAGGGAGAGATTTCTCAAAGGAAGATACTTATATTTTCCCTGCATATGGCCAAGTGTTAGTCTCCTTTAAAGTATTTAACATCTTGTCGAGTCTCTCACTTGGAAGAGTATTCACAGCTTCGGTTGCTGCCTAAAGTTTCCTTTGTTTGTTGCTATTTGTTGTGTGCATTTTATCTTGCATTGCGACGACATTTTTCAGAGCTAAAAACAAAGGGCGTAGGTGGCACAGGAAGCCCATCTTCACTCCCTCCTCCTTTGTTTGTTGATTCATCAACGTTGCATCCGAAGCATCCAACTTGGCTGTGCTCCATTTGTGCCCATACACGTGCTGTGCTGTCTGTTGAAGCATTTACCAGGAAAACGATTCACACACACACAAGAGAAGCTTCTGAAGAGAAACCACAACAAACTTGAACTTGCATGACTCTTTCATGGTTGCATGAGAAACGACGAAGCGTATTTCGTTTTGTAACTGTTTCTAGTTTTGGTTTTAATTAACGAACATATTTAATGTTGCTGCGGTTTAGGTCTCCCCTCATGGCTCCAGTGATTGCTCATCATCACTTCAGCATAAAAGTGCAATCAGTCAGCGTTTTATTTATTCCAAGAGGGAGCCACGAAGCCACAGCAGCAGCAGCAGCAGCAGCAGCAGCTGAAGCATCAGTCAACCGCTTACATCTAGTTGAATAGTTAATTAACTTCTGGCAGTCAGTGTGTGTGTGTTGTGCATCTGCCGCAGAATGGAAGTGTTTTTAATTGAAAATGAAATTAGAGGCAGCAATGCGGAAATGCAGAAATGGAGACAGCGGAAAGAGAGACAGAGAAAACTGCACACAAAGCGATAGTTTGTTAGTTTGCTCCAGATAATTATCGATGACACTTGAAAACAGTGTTGTGCAGGCTCTTAAGTATTTCTACTGTACTGTAGCTCACCAGTGTTGACAATGGCTGAACAATTTTAAAGGGAGCACTTAAACACACATAAAAACTTTAATTATTGCACTTAAATCAGGGACTACTGCAGGCGCCGGCAAATTTATCACATCGTAGAGAACAAGAGAAAGGGAGAGCGTGGAAGAGGGAGTCAGAAAGACATAGGGGGTGGGTATGAGCAGCTTATCCAAACAGTCGCCTGTTGCTGCCTCCGGGTTCGGACTTTCGCCCACAATGGAAACGCGTGACGCTATAAAATAGTTTCTGTCATGTGTTTTGTTTTTACAGCAAAGGAGTCTGTGTCTGTGTGTGTGCATGGAATGTTTTTATGGGATGCCACAATGTTGCATTGCAAACAGCACCCCTGGGAGGGCAGACAACATGCCAATTTCATTTCCATTTCAATTGTTTAACAGCAAAAAAACATTGCAACATTTGTGTCAATCCATCAACAGAACTTTATCGATATCCAGAGTACATTTATCTAATTTCCCCTGGCTTGCATCATCATCAATGGTCAGTGATTGGAATTCCCAGCACGTTGAAATGAATCAATGAATGAAAATAAACAGCAAATGACACAAAATATGCCAGCAAACACAGATAGACCCCATGCAAGGGAGCCACAAATCAATGCAAATTTATGCCAGCAAAAGAAAAGCAAAAACGAACTCCAACAGAATATCCCATTCAAAAAGTTCAAACCAGCGAAAGAGTAAGCAGAGCAAGAAGAGATTCATTCTGTGATGACTGTTTGTTAATTTCCCATAATTTATTTTTAATAAGAAAAAGCCACAAGAACAACAACAAACCAAATGGAAAGTGAACTCAAAAACAGAACAAAGGGATGGCGGAGGAGACACCAAAAAGTGTGCACGAGTGGCTGCTGATCGAGTGACAGCTCCCACAGACACGCGGACGCCTTGGATGAATGACAACAACAGCAAGCGAAACGACAATGATGATGATGTGGATGATGATGACTACAGCCGGGGTGCAGCTTACAATTTTCACATAGCGCCAGCACAGGGCTGAGTACATAATCATAAATATTTCATAATTCGCATACCCTGTAAACGCATAGAGTGTGAGGGTTTTTGACACAGATAAAGCTACTACAATACAGACTCTTCTGTGCCCAGAATCTATCTCTCAGGGGTACTTCGCTAGCCTGGAATACACCAACTATAGCCCCATTTCTCAATTATGTATGCATGTAAAACTTCTGTTTATGTTTTGATATCTTTCTGTCCCCTTCCGCTGACGGCAACTTCTTAATTATTCAATGGACAAGAGAGAGACCCCGTCCGGATCCACACAGTACTCTGTGTTCTTTGTACTCCCATTGCAGAGTTTTGCTATCAACGCAACATTCGTATTGCAAAAGTCTCCCTCACACTCTTTGTTTCACTGTGGAAATCGCTGACTCCGAGTCTGGACTACAACTACGACAACCAGGGCTTTAGTGAGTCATTGCAGCCGCCGATCGTTGACCATTCAAAAGATACAGAAAATAACTATAGGGGGAAAGAGTGAGAGAGCGAGAGAATGAAGTGATTTTATAACTTAGCCATCGATGATGCGGTGTTAACCAATTAGAACATTAATTACACTTGATGCAATGCAATATAAATAGATCTATTTGTCTATCAATATCAGATTTACTAGTAAAAAACCATTGTTGCAACACAATTTCGTCACTCAATTAGGTCGTGCCCCCCAAGGCCTACGCATTAACACTAAATGAATGTGAATCATTATAATCTAGAGAAAACAAAGGGCGAACAAAGGACTGCCACAATCACTGTAAAATGTGCTAACAAAAACCCCATAATGATAAATACAATGTAGATATGTAAATGTACTATGTAAATCGAGCGCAAATGGTGCGTGAGTTGGAAATTCAATTAACATTTAGTTTGCACTCGAAAATAAGCCATAACAATGTGAGAGAATGGCTTAATTTTACTCAAGGGCCATGGCCACGTTATGAGGCGGCTTTGCGATGTCACGAGCGCCAGTCGCATGTAATTTATCAAGATAATCAGAAAACAAACGGAAACCAAAAACAAGAATAAATGTTAGCAATTTGTACAACGAAACGTAGATGCTCTGACAGTTGAGTTTTATCTTTGAGGAGCTCCGAATATCGGGTAACATTTGGTACTAAAACGGGCACAGTTCATTTCGATTATCTTTTCAAAATAAATATGGCTTAATATATCTTTCAATGATGCTCTTGTGAAACATTATATGTAGATAGTACCCCTTTCTGTTAGTGTATAACAGCCATAAAAACACCAACGAATGCCATAAAGATTAGATAAACATGTGAAATTATCAATGTCGCCAGCAATCCTCAGGGAGAAAGAGAAGGAGAGTGCGACTGTGAAAGAGGCAGTCAACGAAACATTCGATATGGCGAATGATTGCACTCCAATTATCGACAGCCGCTTATCGGAAGCAGCACTGTCTGTGCCCCAGGATTGACGCATTCCGCGTGGGGCCAAACAAATGTCAATGTCCCCCCGCTGCAGCCAAGAGGGAGGAGCAGGACAGCTGTCACATTCCCACATTACACGCGTCACTCTCTCTCTCTGTCTCTCTCTGCATGTCTCTCTTGTTTTCTCAATTAAGGCGGCCTATAAATCACATTTGACATTCTGGAGGAGGGCTGTGGTTTGCGGAGGAAATGGATCTGCATATCGATTTCCCACACTGCAAGCGCCGTGTGGCAGTGTGATAAAATGCACAAACAGCTTTTGAAGGAATTGGGTTAACAGTGGGGGAAAAGCATTAAAAAACATTTCTGGACTGTTTATTTTGTGCAAATTGCACACACAAAATAAATAATATATAAAAAAACAGGTCCGTCCGTGCACATAAACAGTTGGATCGTAAAAGAATAACGAAAATAAATTTCTGCACACAGACGTTGCCGTAAAAGCAGCTGCAATTTGCCATTTTTGCTGTTGTTGCACTTTCCATGCTGTTTCTAAGCTGCTTAGAGGCCCCAGACCCCAGAGCAGACACCAGACAGACATCGGGGGCAAAGAACCAGCCCCACAGATGTCGTAAATTGTACATTTGACAATTTTAAAGATGTTTTTACGAACCGAAAAAAAGGCATGCAGCATGGCTTTTAATTTTAGAAACAGGTAAAAGACACGGGACAACAAAGACACTTTAACTTAGCCCCTGCCATGTTGTACTTTTTCCACAGACTTTGTTTAACCCTTGTGGCATATGGAGAGTGCAACAAAGAAATGAAATGCTCAGCGATTTATTTAATTGAATTAAATTTGGTTCACAAATCAACACTCCGGCTCAGTGTCATTTCAATAAATCACATACACAAATGTGCCAGCGCATACAGTGCGTTGCAATACTTTAAGACTTCGAAAGGGTGGAGGAACTCTTAAATACTCAATTGCTAAGGAATAATTGCTATAAATTCCTAGCCTCAATTCTCTAAAAGTCCTGCACCCCACCTTAACTGTCACATCTGTGCATTTGGCGCCTCAATTTCCACCCACCTTAAAGCGCATAATGAGGGGAGCATCCACACACAACGTTCAGGCATTTTCAACAGTACTCAAAAATGAGAGAAAATATACCATAAAATGTTTTAAACATTTCATTTTTATTTACTTGGAACTGTTTACGCTGCTTTGTTTTGGTTTCTCTATTTTTGGCGTAATTAATTTACAGTTGATGACGTCGGAAATACGAAAATAAATCCATAAACAATTAACAAATGGTCCAACCATCAAAGTCGTCTGATAGGAAAGTGAAATTGAATTAAAACAACTAAATATGATATTAAATATGGTCTCTAAAGAGGTATGAGTTGGTTTTCTATTTGGTGAACTATTACAAAATGGAAACCTAGCGGAAATTGATGAAGCCGTTCAGATTTGTTACACACTTTCATAGGATCGCCTTATAGGTATGCATAAACTCGTTGTGCCATTATGTTATAATATTCAAAGGCTGATCGCTGGCACGCACATTATAAATAATTATATTGACTGGCCAACCGAGTGACCACACGCCGGAAGTTCTCCTTCTCCCTCTGACTGGGTCTCCAGTATTCGCGCACATCATTTAAGTGGTTCGTGGAAAGGGAATGAAAACTGGAAGAGAGGTACGAGAATTATATATCTAATGACTGCTCATTCCGTTGCTGTTTGTGATTATTGTGATTGCTGCTGCAGTCTGCAGTCTGCTTCCATTGTACAACTGACATTAAATACTTAAATGTACTTATTTATGCACACTCTGTGTATGATGACGATAAATCGCTTTTTGTATGTGGAGCGGCAGCACGCATTCTCTTAAATGGGTCGCTCGCACATCAATTTTTGGTGCAAAGGGCTCCTCCCCCTTTGAAGCAGCTGTGGAACTGTGGGAATTTGACTGATCGGGTAGCTTAAAAGGGGGGCTCAAACTTTTCAATTGGGTTACGTTTTTTGTACAAAGGAAGCTAACAGATTCCGCCGCAAAGTGCTTTAAAAGTTTCACAATTCAATTTTTCTCCCTTCATTGCAAACTTTTAAAGAAATCAGCAACAGTTGAACAGTTTCTTGTATTTAAATGAGTCAATTCCATAGTGATTTCATGACACACATTAAGCAAGTAATCTACCCATCAGTCACTTGTTAGACGGAGACCAACCACAGCAGTCTGTGGTTCTGTATTTAGTTGAATATTTCGCAGTTTTTTTTGGTGTGTGTTTATTTTGCTGTGTAATGCAGTTCAAGGTTTCGTATAGGATTACACTTGCATGTGTTTGACACATGGTCTGCTAGATATCCATATGTACTTAAGTTGCTATCGCTCTGCCTGTCAATGGCATGAAAAACCGCAATATTTTATGGGTTAATTCATATAATTGAATAATACTCGCACCGCAAATACATACTCGTAGTTTATCAAATTTCAATGGTGTTTGGCCCACATTTCCGATAAACTTTAATCTCTCTCTCCTTTTACACCCACATTATGAGTGGTTTTATTGTTGTTGCTTTGTCATTGTTCAGGTGCGTGTGTTTGTGCTTTGCTTTTTGTTATGTTACTAATATTTAGGGCCCTTTGTTGACCCTGCTGTTGCTTGTTTAGTGCACACAAAAGAGGCGCCTTTTATTCGATGCGTCGTATCTGGTCTGGGCCAATATTTGACAAAAGAGCAACTAACAAGTGCTGGTAAATCACCTGGAAAAGCCAACACATTGCTGCTGGAGGAAAGTACTATGGAATTATTTATTCTCTCTATATTCTAACCATTAAAATATAATCAGAATAACAGCAGAATGTGGCCAATATTTATTAAGTTTATAGCACAACAAGGCCACACTCCCTTACAAAGAAATAAATGCCACATTTGGCAGGTTTTACGATCGTTTTTATTTTATTTTTGTTTGTTGGAGAAGGTGCGGTGCAGCAGCAAATGCAACAAAATAAGCAAACGAAAAAAAAAGTCATCTGCATTTTTTTCTCGTCGCATTTTTCACTCTATTTATAGCAACCAACGGGGGAGCGAGAGGCAGAGCAGGGAGCAGAAGCAGCAAAAAGGAGAACACCAAGTTTTTCCAGCTTTTGGCGCATTGCCAAAGTTTTTTTTCTGTTGTATCACAGGGGGTAAGTAGGGGGTCACCTACTCCATAACCAGTTTGTTTGCCTTGGCAACCAGTTCCACCCCATGCCACAGTCGCCACCCACTCAGGAGGTTGCTAAAAAGGGAGATCAAAAATTGCAATGAAACTAAAATTCAGGCCACAAATTAAGCGCATTTTAAGTAGTTTTGGTTGGAACGGCTCTGGAAGAGGGAAATACAGGTAAAGGTGCAGCGCTAGGGTTAAATGGCCACCGAGGTCGTCTTTGTTATTGCTTTGTGGGTCACACAAGGGAAATGAGCTCATTGGCTCACATTTTCCGGTTCATTTGCGTTGATTAAAGCTTTTTGGGCCTGACATTTGTTTGTCGTCTCTCACCCCTCTCTTGTTTATGGCACCCCCACCATCTGTAAAAGTCATATCCCTGCCTCGTTCTGTCTGAAAGCCAATTAATAATTTCGCACAGCACACAAACAACTGTAGAATTTCGAACTCGAATCTAGGCGCTTAGGCAAAGGTCAACCAGCAAAAACGCGTTGAGAGTGCCGCCTTGGAGCTGTGACTAATTCTCCCCAAATATGAAGAGTGAGATAAAACGAAGAAAGAGTGTGTGAAAAGCAACGGCAAAAGTTTGTTAGTGACGTCAGTGGAGCAGATAATGAAAGAAGTTCTCCCACTGGGCACACCACTGATCATGCGGGCACGTGTGTGAGTCAGAGTGAAAGAACCAAAGGAGGGACATAGAAAGAAACCAAGTTTACACGGAAGCATTTTGAATATTATTTGTACATGTATGTATGCATGTCAAATTCATGTGCAGCAGTGGCTCCACGTTGTTATCTATTGAAGCGATAAGCTGTTCATTTCAATAGCTAAACATTTTCCCGTTTGAAAACATCGTGTAAGCGATCCAAACACACGCAGAGGGAGAGAGATCAACTGGGAGAGCGGCAATTGAAAGATTTTAATACAGCAAAAATCCCCGAACCCATATCAAATGTTAAATGTTTATGTAGCAGCAGTAAAATTCCCGTTTTACATGTTCGTTTTCGCAAGACGAATGCATCGTGTAAACGATAATCATGGCACAAGCAGCAGAAGAGAAGAGAGAGCGAGCAAGTGAAAGATAACTGTTGAGTGTGTCTCTGTGTCGCTATTTCTCTACCTATCTCTCTCTTTCACCCTGACAAAGGTTAAATGCTCAATTTGTTACTCGTTTATTGTTGAGTTTGTTTTTGCCCATTTGATTGTGTGCCATTTGTTGTTATTTTTAACAAGTTGTTGTAATTATCAGCCTTAGACGCCTTAAACCCAATATAATCAAAAAATTACACAGGAAAAATTGTCACTAACCGGTTAGTGGTTCGGTCTAGAGCAGGGGATTTCCCCCTGAACTGAACCCAACAAGATGACGCAAACAGGCAGATATCACCACTCACCCGATAGATCTGTATTTCCTCCAGCACCACCTCTGACTCCTTGAGCACACGCTCCACCTCATCGTAAACCTCGCGCTCCGTCTCCGTGGGCGCGGCGTTCTCAAAGTCCAGGAAGACATCGTAGGATTTGGCCGCGCAACAATTGGAGTCATCGCGTGACAGCAGGCTCAGCAGTTTGCCCATTTTTGGTGTGGATGTGTGTGTTGATTGTGTGTGTTGATTAAACTTATTAAGTTATGGATTTTGTGGTATTTTCGTTATTATTTTTGGGTTATTAATTAGCACTCGAGGCAACTGCAAATGGGTAGAAGGATGGGGAGAAGACATTAGCAGCTGTTGCACCTGTTGTCGCAAGGGGCTTTCATCTCAGATCCCACAGCAGCTGCAAATGGGCGAACGGGGATCCAAGAACTTGTTTCATCTTGGCCGAGGACAAAGGAAACGGACAACAGGGATGGGAAAACACACACAAAAAACAAATGCCTGACAATTTTTGAACCGCCCCGCCCCCTTGGGAATGGGACAATTCTCTTTTGACTCCAGCACAGCAGCAGAAAATTCTCTGCGGGAGGTGCAGAGAGAGAGAGAGAGAGAAGAGCATCCAGGGTGTATGTATATGTATAGGTGCAGCATTTTCTGTTCTCTAAAGTTGACTATTTTATTTTTTTCCACTTTTTTGGCATAGCTGCAACCAGTTAGCTATTTCTGAGCCCTCTCTGGAAACCTTTATATAAATACACCTTGAGCATGGCCATGTGTTTTCCATATATCTCTCTTTTTCTCTCTGCCTCCGGCACGCTGTTGTGTGTGTGTTTGTGAGTGGGGGGTTCGCAGGAAACGCGTAAACAACAGCAACAAGAACAGCAACACTTTTCACACATCATGCTAAGTAGGAAAAGGCCATTTTCCTTCACACGCAGAACAAGTAAACATTTTCCCCACACACACACCATCTTCACACTTTAATTGCGAAAATAAAGCAACAACAAAAGAGCAAGTTTCATGTTATTAAACTGTTCGTTTTTCCCTGTGTGTGTGTGTGTGTGCACTGCTTTTGTTTATCTGCAGGCCTTATCTGGCAAAACAGTCAGGGGAGGGGAGGAGTGTGCTGGATGCCCGTCATTTCTCTTTTCATTTTTTTCTGATATTTTGCGCGCTTATCTGTACTCTTTTTTATTTATACTCCCCAATGCCGAGAGGGTTTCTTTCTGCATTGGAATTTCTTTAGCTTATCACCTTTTTGCACCACCTTTTCGCGTAATCTGTGTTTGATAGACTTGAGCGCAGCGGCGCCTATTGCATGGTTGGATTTGTCGATGTTTTCACAAAATGTATGTTTATTTAAAAAATATGCTAAAACACGCACACGATACGTACACAAGACGGCGCCAAAGTCGCGTCTTTCACGCAGTTACTAAACAATTTTAACTTCCTATTCTGTGTTATCCAACGAACTTTTATTGCACTTATTTATTTTTCCTCGGACGTACTCGCGCAGCAACAATATATTTCAACGGATTTTCCGGATTTTTCCGAAAAAAATTCAACACTTCGCGGCGGCCAAAACATTTGTGCAGTGTGCCCGCGGAATTATCTGTAGAATAAACCGCCTGCACTCAGAAATATACCTTCTAATTATCAAAATATACCGTAAATATATCGAGGAAAATCATATTCCTTCATTTTGATATTCGTTCTAATTTTGCTTTATAGCTAGGTCCCTCACCGATAAACATATACTTTTATCCAATTAATGCATCAATTTGCTAGTAGTTTTGCTAATTTTTAAAACTCTACGTACTGGTTTATTTATAAAATAAGGTGAAAACATGGAAGGAAGCTCCAAAGGAAGTCTCTTTATTTTACATTGTAACTACATAGTAACTACCAGTGTGACCATTTTTACTGTCATGCGATGAAAAACAAGTGCTGCAATACTCTCAACTATCGCTCTTCTCACATCCCATCGCTATTTCTACCGCACGCTGGAAATCGTGAAGTTTTCTTCAATATTTTCATTTTCCTGACTAAAATCCTTGTAAATAGGAAATAAAACCCACTCGATATGGCGGCGGACAGCAAGAGCTCCCAACTAGACGACATACAGCAACTGCTGCTGGAGCGCATAGCCAAGAATGACACGAGTGGATTCGCACAGCTGCTCGGCCAGCTGAAGGGTGGCGGCGTTAACTTTGTGGACGACACGGGCATGTCGCTTCTGGCGCATGCGAGCTTTAAAGGAAACAAAGAGGCGGTGCAAATACTGCTGGACATGGTAAGTGGTGGCCACAAAGCTGTAGCGGAATGACAACCTTTTTCCCCACACAACAGGGCGCCGACATCAACTTGAACCAACACGGGGCTGACTATACTCCTTTGCACTTTGCCGCGCTGTCCGGCAGCACTCACGTATGCCGTCAACTGCTGGATGCTGGCATCAATCCCGGTAGCATCAATAGCGTCTCGCGCACAGCCTCACAGATGGCCGCCTTCGTGGGAAACCATGCCTGCGTGGAGACAATCAACAACTACGTGACCAGATCTGGACTGGAGTACTACACACAGGCGCATGGCCAGCAAACGGAGCCGTTAATACCGCCCGCGCTGCTCTCAGCCTTCCACACCTTTGTCATCGAAATCAATCTGCATCCCGTTAGAATCGCCCTGAACGCCCAGTCCCTGGGACTGCTCAGGATACTGACCAACCTGCGCAAGGCCCTGTCACTGATGTGCGAGAAGGAGATGCAGAAGACACACGACATGAACGAGCTGCTGGCCTTCAAGTTCCACTACCAGGGCTGGATCGTGGCCGAGCTGATCCGCTGCGAGGAGCAGTTCAAGGCGCAGCACAAGGAGAAGAACGGCGCAGGCGAGCCGGAGGTCAACAAGAACGACTTTATCGAGCTGTTCGTGAAGCGGGTGCTCAAGGAAAACAAACAGGGCCAGCTGGACTACGTGGAGTACACGCTAAGGGAGTGTGCGCGAGAGTTTCCCGTGCGGGAGTGCACCATCTTCAGGCAGATAGCCACGCAATTTGGAGGCAAGGACGCGCCACCGGCCCTAGTTATCCTGCGCAATGCCATCAACGGAATGCGCGGCTTTGTGGTGAGTCTCAGCTGTAGTTCTTATTAAATATATCATCATTTTGCATTTTTTTGCAGGACGAAACGAGCTACTGCAGCACCTGTGGACAGGAGAAGCCTGACAAGAAGTGCTCCAAGTGCAAGGCGGTGCAATATTGCGATCGAGAGTGCCAGCGCCTGCACTGGTTCATGCATAAGAAGAACTGTGCCCGTCTCTTGGCTGCATCCCTGGCTGGGGCCCAGGTACAGTCGAAGGGTCCCATCGATACCTCAGAACTGCAGGAGGAGCTGTCCAAGCTGTCGGCGTAATCGCCATGCCAAGTGTTTCTTTTTTATGGAAATATATTTACTATACACAAAACTCGTGTCACGGTGTTTGTTTGCTCCTCCCAAAAAGCTATCGCGCAGAGTTACACAGCACTAGATGGGTTTCACACTTTCCAGCACCGCGCATAGACAGAATCATAGAAATTAACATTTATCAATCCAAAATGGTGAAAGTGTGGTTTATGGACAACGAGCAGAAGATCGATCAGCGGTTGGAGCATCATCGCAGTCCCCCGGCCTATCTGGAGCTGCCTGAACTGTACCAAAAGACCGGCGTGGAGTATTTCAAGGCATGTCATGCGGGACTCCGTTTCCGATTTGACCTTCAAGCAAGCTTATCTTAAACGATCGTTTCTTTCCCCCGGCAGATCAACGCTGACGACTATCAGAACGACGCAATTTTGCGGGAACTGCGAGCGAAACGTGGCTACACCTACGATGATGAGGCAGGTTCCTGGCTCCCTTTTTGAGCGCACCTGTTGATACCCCATCCTCTTCATTGCAGATCACCTGCTCGGAGAAGTGCTTGCCGGACTATGCCAACAAACTGAAGAACTTCTTTACGGAACACTTGCACACAGAGGAGGAGATACGCTTGGTGTTGGATGGATCCGGCTACTTTGATGTCCGCGACAACGAAGAGCAGTGGCTTAGGATCCAAGTGGTCAAGGGAGATTTGATTATTATCCCTGCGGGCATTTATCATCGCTTCACATTGGATTCTAATGTAAATGGCATCTCTATAATTTCAATCGTTAATCTCGTTATCCCCTTTAGAACTTTGTCAAAGTCCGTCGCTATTTTGTTGGAAAACCCGTCTGGACGCCGCATAATCGTCCCGCAGATGATTTGGATTGCCGCAAGTCCTACCTGAAGCATCAAGCCGAGAACTTTGTGCAATTTAAACAAGCCTAGAGTGCAGTGTCTGTTTATTTTCTGTTTTTATAAATATTAAAGCACCAGGAGCGAATCCTGGGTCAAGCGATTGTCGACGCAGATGTGACAGATTCGATATTTGGCATGGGAGGAGCGGGGATCCAGTCCTCACTGTTCCCGGTGAATGAAGTGTCCGACAGTCAGACTGTAGGCAAATACCAGAGCTTGCCAGGGCTTACTTGCTTCACGAAAGAGTCACGGAAGGATCTTCCAATCTTCATATTGGGCTGGCGAAGGCGGTGATTAGGACTCAAAACTAACCAATTTTGAATTGAAAGGGTGCTTGGAGGCGCCGTTTTACAACTTTGCCACGGACGCAAATATTCCTTGGCACGACCTTGCTGCTTCACCAATTAAAGAAGACTGCAGATGTTATTCCCAGACATATGCAAATTCTCTGGAGGGAACTGTATAATATATCTGTCCAAAAGCGATGGTGTAAATCTCCCAAGTTTCAGCCTAGATCGGTGGTAAGAGTCTGTCAGAGTCCAAGTTCAGATTTCTAAGGGCTAATATTAAAAATAGTTTTTGAACGGATTCAAGAAGAATGTGTTGCTCCTTGTATGGAGGACTCCACACACAAGAACAATACTCCAATTTCGGGCGGATATATCGGAGTTTAGCCCCAATTATGTTGTGAAGATAGAAGGACTGCCCCCCAAACCACTTCGAGTTCATTCTAATATTTACTTATGTTCCCATTCCTTCTCCCTTTCAGAAAAATAAGAGAATTTCCTAACTCTTCGGTTTCGCGCGCTGTTTTTCAAAAATTTGTATGATATCAGTTAACATACATGTGTCTCTACATGTTACATACACTTACATACTGTATACAAAGTTTCCTTGCTTCCAGAAGGGGTGATTTGAATGTTTGAATTAGTAAAATATTAGGTCACAAGGTATACAAACCAATAACAATTGGCATTTCAAATACGTCAAATTGATTCTTCAAACGGATTAAATTATTGTTTCAGTGTTAAAATTCCTTGCAAGCTAGTAATATCAAATATAACATAAAAATCGAGAAAAATATTATAAGATTCATTGCTTTGCACTTTTTAAAGGTAGGGTTGACAAATTGGTAGAGTAAAAAAATATCATAGACGTGATATATTTTGCTATCACTGAAAAAATATCGATATATTTGATATTTTTTAGCTTGTAAAGCTTGATGCTGATCAATACTACTAACAACTGATGATATATTCTTTATTGGGTTGAATATACCCTTTATATATATTTAGATCCTGTGGTTAGTTACCGAACTTGAAATATCAAAAAATATCGCAAAAACATATCAATATATTGATATTTTGGGAAACAAATTTCACGATATTATTTTAAAAAAATATCGATATATTGATATTCTGATATATATTTGACAACCCTTCCCAACCAGCAGTGCTGGTCGTCGTCCAATTCACTGTAGCGACGCTGTAGCGGTAAATACCAAAAAATTAAAAAAAAAAAAAAGGAACAAGAATTTTCCGAAATTTTCCAAACGCGCGTGGAATAACTGTCTATTAAATCCCACTCCACTCCGGGCATGCCGCGAAAACAGTAAATCAAACAAAGTATAATAAAGTTTATTGTCTTGTTTGCCAACAAAATGAGTTCTACAAGTGCATGTTTATTGGTCTCTTTAGCTCTCTGAAATCGTAAACAAATCGTGAAAAAAGTAAAGTATATATAATACAACATAAATATTTAAGTCCAACGCGTTCGTTGCCGATAAAATATTTGTGTTTGGGGTGAGCCGCAACAACAGCAGCGACGTCAGCAGTGCGTGGTGCAAGTGTATTGGTGTTTAACTCGGCCGTCCGATATACATATATACAAGCGTATATGCCAGAATAGCGCGCCGCCCCTCTTGGCAGTGTGAGTGCATCTGACGTACATACGTATGTACATACACACCCGCAAGTAAATAAGAAGAAATTAGCTCATCACAAAAAAAAGTGAAATTTTCTTCCATAAAAGTCTAAAAGTCGAGGAAAATATCAATTCTTTGCATAAGGTGATTGTTTTGTGTGTGCAAGTGGAAAATTAGAATCAACTCCCAGGCTGGACGCAGAGGTAGCAGCAGCATCGGCAGCGATAGCACCCACAGCAATTTGGATTTTTGCTCTCCACGCGGGTAAGATTCACCCCCTCCCCAACGTCTTTTTGCTAAAATTTTCATTACGCCGAAAGAAAAAAAATTTAATATGTATGCGAGAGCAAGCACCTCACTCCATCTCCACTCTCTTGCTTGCTCTCTCTTTCTCTCCTTGGCTTCAACTATCCAATTTAACCTCAACCGGTCTGCTGCTGCTGCGGCCGGCGTCTGCGTCTCCCCGCATGCATGCATGTGTGTATGTGTGTGTGCTCGTTCAAAATGCTCTGCCGCGGTCGGCGTTCTTCTTTAACTCTCGCGTATTATTTCGCCAAAGCTCCAACTTTTTCCTCCTCCACCTTCTCCTTTATATTGACAATTTTTACAGCTTTTGGCGTTCGTCTGTCTGCCGCTGTCGGTGCCAGCGTCGTCGCTGTGACGCCATGGCTTAGGCGATTGTGTGTCGTTTTTTGTTGTTGTTTTCTATTGTATCTGCCGCTGCGCTGCTTGACTGGTCGCGAGGGGGTAGCAGTCTTGTCGTTCCGTTATCTACACACATTTGCGGTGCCCTGAAATGTATCGGCAGCTGCCATGAATGAGCGGGCTTCTGCTCTTGCATATAAAGTGTGTTAATGAACTTTTCTTGTATACGGTACGATTGCAAACTTGGCTAATTACCCGCACGCACTTTCGGGCGCTATGCAACACTTGAATGTTTTCGAGAATGACCCCACACACACACGTACAATAGCCTGCACTTGTTCGGCAACATGGCTCTCTCTCAATGCCTGCCTACCTACCTCTCTCTTTCTCTCTGTCTCCCGCTTTCTGTTTTCCCCTGCTCTCACTGGCTCCCTGTTCGTGGCTATGTTTCGGGAATGCGTGCCGCCAGGCTGTAGCCGGGTAACGAACGCATTTTGGCAAACAGCACGAAAAGTTGCATGCTCCAAAATACACACACACACACACACACATGCAGACATAACCACCTTGCTCTCGCTCTCTCTTCCACTATCTCTCTCTGTCAACAGCACTTGTTATGCTGCTCCCACTCACACGCAGCATGTCGTTAGTTTTAAACTTATTTTGGCATTCTTTATGTGCTACTGCATTCTCTACGTCTTTCCCTTCGACTCGTCTCGTCTCGTACCGTCCCGTGCCGTCTCGATGGCGACCCAGACCCGCATTTCCAGCTGGAGCTACAGCTACAACCGTTGTAGGAGTCTGAGAACTATTCAGGTCGGGGGAACTAGTTCGCAGTGGAGCAGGTCGTCGGCATTAGTTAAATCAGATAATCTTCGCCGCATGCACTCCTCCCACGGCCAAGAGTTTATGGCTGAAGACGGGTAAAATTTTATGTGTTTGAACTTAAGGGAATTATTTAATAGATTAAGCCCCAAGCAAACTGACGGAAATCCAGAAAAAGACTGCTGCAAGAAACCAAGACCGGGAAGAATTTATGATCTAGATTTATGGTTATTCCATTACACTATTAGTTTCAGCGGCTGTGTTATGATAAATCTCTGCAAAGATTGTTTGCATTTATACTTATTACACCTAACATCTACAATTTTTATAGTGTATACCATGGAAATATTCTGTAGTGTAATCAGAGCAGCGTTCTGTATTGGCTCTGCGTTGGGTATACACAAACTTGCATACAACATCCATACATACATACACCAATATACCTGTGCTTGTACCTGCGCATGCATGGGTGTGAGAGAACACCGATATCCGAAATTCTCGTCTTTTCCAGCATTGTATTGGTGTGTTGTTGCTGCAAGTGGAGCAGCAGAACTCGACTTCGACGCTCTGCGGCATGCGACTGCATGCGTAAGCAGCGGCAGTGCACTGTTCCCCTCCCACTTGGGTGCTGAGACCAAGATTTCTTTCAATTTAGGTTAGAGTTTCTTTTACAGTTGCAAGCTAATGGCAGTCGGCCAGGGTCAATGCAAAGTGCATAAAAGATTGTATATGGAGGAGTCTTATTGATGGTGTGTGTGTGTGTGTGGGTGAGTGGAGGTTTGGTCTGAAAGGGAGGTAAATATTATTGCATACTCGATCCATTCCGTTCCATCATCACATATTGCAGTTGTTTTCTATTTCGTTTGCTGCAACAGAAATGCGAATTGTTGAAACCCCACACACAGACACACACTCACTCTCATGTAGTCCCCACCTTACCCCTACCACCCTCTTGCTCTTGTACACACGACACTCTCTCGTGCCATGCTCCTCTATGTACAGTGCTTACAACAACAAAACAGCAAGCCGAAATGCAGTTTAAAGCGCAACTAAAACTAAACAGAGCTCTCCAAGTGGGTGTCTATAAAGGGGGATGGTGGATGTGGTGGTTTGGGGGGAGTGGGTGATTTCTCTATATGTTTCCCCCCGCACGGTACGGGTGTGTTTGTGTATGTTTGGATTTCTATGTATGGAATGGAGAGTGGATTTTATATCAAAAGTACAGTCGCCTATCGCTGTTGTTGCTGTATTTCATAGTTGGGTGTACATATGTTTGTAGCATGTAGGTATGCATGTACGTATGTATGTGTTTGTACATAAATTGCATGTTCATGCTTCAATAGTTGCATGCAGCAGCGTCCATGCCAGCAGCATTGTTGAAAGATAGAATGTGTGAGAGAGTAGCAGAGCGAGAGAAAGAGGAGTGATTGAGAGACTGGGCTCCCTAGGGTGGTGTCAGGGCTATACCTAAGCCTAAGCTTTTGCATTGAATGCGGATGCACCGAAAACTCTCTGGTCTCTGTTGACAACTAAAACAAGAGCCAAACGCCCGAGAAGCCAGCGTTAACAACGAATCAAAATATGCAAACGGTTTGGCACTTCGATTGCGATGAGAATTGCTTTGGCACTTCGATTGCGATGAGAATTGCGATTGCGATTACAAAAGATCATGTCAGTCGTCGATAATGATTGAATTATTAGTGTTGTGAAAGGGTAAAATGGGGAAAAAGACACTTTAATTCGTTTACCCCAGCTTCGTGTCTCCCCTTATAAATATGGTTCTACATAGCTTTGGCTTCTCCTAGCCTCTCCTCTGTCTTCCTTTGACTTCTCCTCTTGCTTTTGCTTCTCTTTCATCCTCCCCACCTTTATCACACTTACCAATGGCCTTTTCTATCCCCCTTCTTCCTTAGGTTGATTTTTTGTTTTTTTTAGCTGTAGCTGTTGTTGCTTTTGTTTTACATATATATTTTTTTATGATTCTCTTTTGTGCTTGGGAGTGTGCGAATGGGAGAGGGAAACTTTCTTACTTCTGGGTGGGGGAAGAGCTTTAGCTTTGCGTGTGCTGAAAAAATCGATTATATGCCGAGAGGGGGCGGGGGGGGGGGGGGGGGGGGGGGGGGGGGGGGGGGGAATCAGCAGAGTGCTGTGGTAACTTAAATTTAAAGCAGATGACAACCCAGAACCCCAGCGCTTCGTTTATTGATTAAACATGTCCAAAAAGAGTGTGGGTGAAAAACTGTCATAAAATTAAGGGGAAATATAATGAAAAACGAAAATTGACTTATTGATTTTGTAATGAGCTCCCTCTCTCTGCCTTGTTCTGTGGCCAGCCCTGGTTTTGCCGTTGAGCAGAAATAAGAGGTGTGTGGTTAGGGTGGGGGAGGGAGGTGTAGAGTGGTAGGGCTTCCGCTTATGTATAAAAGTTTTTTGGTAGCAAGAAAGCAACAACAATATGAGATGGCGGCTGCTGCAGTTGGAGTGGGAGTAGGAGTTGGAGAGTGGTGGCTGCTGCTGCCTGGCGAGAGAGCCTAGGAGAGAGAGAATGGGATGAGAGAAAGGGCTGCTGCTGCTGCCTTGCTGCTTGTGTTGTTTGTGTATTGGGTGCCGTTAGTTGAAATGCAGACTTTTGCATTGTTGTTTGTGGGTGGAAGAGGAAATGGGGGAGATGTCAGATGTAGAAGCAGAAAGGTTCGCAAAGAGGAGGGAGTAAAGCAGAAAGGATGGGTGGTAGGGCGTGCTGTGGCAGCGGAGGCTCTGTGGCTGTAAAATGCCCCGAAACCCGGTACAGCTGTGTATGCATGTGTACATAAACACACACACACACAGAAAGAGAGAGAAAGAGAGTGAATATAAGAGAGAGGAGTAGAGTTAAGTGAAGTGAAGAGCAGAGCATGCAAAAACAGATACATATACAAAACAGGCAATGAGTGCAGGGAGGGAGGCGACCCCCCTCCAGTATGGTCTCGGTCAGGTCCGGGTCGGGTCGGGTCTGGTCGGAAGGAAGCTTAGCTCAGCCAGCACCACACCCCGCATAGCTCAAGTATGCATATAATATCCGGGCGGCTTCTTCCCCAACTCTTGCACCAACCAAAGCCTATAGAAGTGGGGTTAAGGTCCATTCTGTGTGGATTTCCTACCTTATTTCGGGTTGTCCTCTCTCGCTATCTGGGAGGAGTGGGTGGGGCGGATAGTTAGTTGCGTAATCTATGCGTTGATTTGGTTCTGAAACCCGTTGTATATCACTAAACAGACGACTTCCTGCTGGTCAAAACGAATGTGGTTTCGGGTGGTGTGGTATGGTTCGACACTCGAAATGCAAATTTCCACCCAAATTGTAAATCCGAAAATTCCAAATTTGCTGATAGCCAGGGACCCCCATGTAGGATGTCTGGGGGAGCATATGACAATGATGATAACATGGTGGGTTGGTAACCTTTGGCAGGAAATTAGTTTTAGCCGCAACACCTATCCAACAACGCTTCTAACTTTGCCTCTGGCCTGCCCCGTAGCTCAATCAACCATTAATATTACGCAATTTTAATGAAAATGGCAATTAGCGTGGGGGTCGGGTGGGATGGCTACTTGCAAATTCAATATACGGCCCATGTCCCAGGCCCAGTGCAGGTCCCATGGCTATTTATTTATGAAAGAGCATAGCCTCAGACTCAGGTTCAGGTTTCTGTGTACGACCAAACTATAAATTGCAAGCGAAACTGTACCTCAAATGCAAAATGGTGAGTAATCCTAAGCTGAGCGCCATGTTTGGTTGAATTTGAATGGCAGTGGCAGTG